AAAAAACTATTGGCCCCCACCCCTAAACGACGGGTGGGGGCCCTAAAGTAAAATAAGGGGTGAGACCTATTGTCCCCCCCCCCGGCTCCCACCCCTGTGCGGTGGGTGGGGGTCATAATGATAACGAGGGGGGCTACTGTCCTCCCCCCCGACCCCACTCCTGGGTGGCGGGTGGGGGCCATAATGATAATGAGGGGGGGACCTACTGTCCCCCCCCCCGGCCCCTACCCCTGGGCGGTGGGTAAGGGCCATAATGATAATAAGGAGGGGGACCTACTGTCCTCCCCCCCGGCCCCCACTCCTGGGCGGCAGGTGGGGGCCATAAAGATAATGAGGGAGGGAACTTACTGTCCTCTCCCCCCGGCCCCCACTCCTGGACGGCGGGTGGGGGCCTTAAGTCAAATCCCCCCCCCCATCAAAGGTGACTAGGGGTCCCCAAGCCCCTAGTCACCCACCCAAGTAAAAAGTCCTCTACCTACCCCCCTCACCCTTAAAAATAGTGAGGGGGGAATAAAATTACTAACCTGTAAAGTAAAATTAAACTTACCATTCGACATCTTCTTTTTTCTAAAATCTTAATTTTTCAGCCCCAAAAAGGCCAAATAAAAAACCATCATACCCGTCGAACTTAAAATAAAATAAAAAACCCGAGCGCAAATAAAAAACCAGACGAAAAAGAAAAAACCCGAGCGCAAAAAAATAATCCATCTTCACCCATGGAGGGCTCCGCGCAGACTGAGCTCCGCAGGGCGGGGCAAAGCCTTGCCCGCCCTGCAATTAGGCTAAGAACACTCTGATTGGTGGGTTTAAGCGAATCAGAGTGCTCTTGTCATTTTACACAGCGTGGGAAAATTCCAAAAGAACTTTCCCAGCTGTGTAAAATGACACAGAGCACTGTGATTGGATGGATTTCAAGCCATCCAATCACAGTGCTCTGTGTCATTTTACACAGCGTGGGAAAATTCCAAAGAACTTACACAGCGTGGGAAAATTCCAAAGCGCTCGAGTTTTTTATTTTTCGGCAGGTTTTTTTTTTTTGCGTTCGGGATTTTTATTTTATTTTAAGTTCGACGGTTATGATGGTTTTTTATTTGGCCTTTTTTGGGCCTGAAATATGAAGATTTTAGAAAAAAGAAGACGTCGAATGGTAAGTTTAATTTTACTTTACAGGTTAGTAATTTTATTCCCCCCTCACTATTTTTTAGGGTGAGGGAGGTAGGTAGGGAACTTTTTATTTGGGTGGGGGGTGGGTGACTAGGGGCTTCGGGACCCCTAGTCACCTTTGATGGGGGGGAATTTGACTTAGGGCCCCCACCCGCCGCCCAGGGGTGGGGGCCGGGGGGGAGGACAGTTGGTCCCCCCTCATTATCTTTATGGCACCCACCCGGCGCCCAGGGGTGGGGGCCAGGGGGGAGGACAATAGGTCCCCCCCTCATTATCTTTATGGCCCCCACCCGGCGCCCAGGGGTGGAGGCCTGGGTGGAGGACAGTAGGTCCCCCCTCGTTTTCTTTATGGCCCCCACCCACCGCCCAGGGGTGGGGGCCGGAGGGAGGGGAGGACAGTAGGTCCTCCCCCAATATCATTTGTCCCCCACCCGCCGCCCAGGGGTGGAGGCCGGGGGGGGAGGACAGTAGGTTCCCCCCCCTCATTATCATTATGTCCCCCACCCGCCGCCCATGGGTGGGGGCCTGGGGGGGGAAGAAAGTAGGTCCCCTTCCTCATTATCATCATTGCCCCCACCCGCCACCCAGGGGGTGGGGGCCAGTGGGGGAAAGGACAGTAGGTGCCCCCCCCTCATTATCATTATGGCCCCCACCCGCCGCCCAGGGGTGGGGGCGGGAGGGAGAACAGTAGGTCCCCTTCCCCCCCATTGTTATTTATGGCCCCCACCTGCCGCTCAGGGGTGGGGGCCGGATAGTAGATTTTTTTTATTTATTTTTTTACATTGCTCACTGTTTAGTAGACATGCCCCTACTCACGGTATAGCTAGTAGGGGCATTGGGGAAATTTTAATCTCCCTTATGCTATTATGGGGGTCATATTGACCCCCATAGAGTGAGGGGGGACCTGGGGGGCTTATGAAGTGGCAGGGAGCACTGCTCCCTGCCGCTTTTATAGTTACATATTACAAGGAGGGAGCTGCGTGCTGGTAGCTCCCTCCTTGTAATAAACTGAACGAACACTGATACACAGTGTCTGATGAATGAATGAATAGATGAAATTACCGTTCACATGTCCAGGTGTTTAACTGGGCATGTGCGGGAATCTCAGTGCTATCTAGTGTGGGCAGATGACGTGTCCCACAGGGACTTCATCTACCCACACAAAGATGGCGGTGCCCTGAATAAAGATTGGGGCAGAAAATAAAGATAAAAAAATAGGTAATGTGGGGGGCTTAGGGGCATTTGGGAGTGACTAGTGTGTCAATTAGAGATAGTGGAGGCGGGAGGGGGGGTTAAAAAAAAAACAGGATTCAGCATGACAGTGCCGCTTTAATGAGCTGTGCCAAATGTTGCCAAATAATCCTTTAACAATACAGTGTGGCTTATGACAAATCAGACCTCATTGACCCTGTAGATATACTCTGGTTTATTGTGGAATCACATGCAACATACATGATTTCTATTATAATTGGGTCTTTTTTTATTTTATATAGTTTATGGGTTTATAATACATTTCACCTTTCATCTTGTATTTATTTACTTCCTTTTGGTGTTTTTACAACATCTTTATGTGGTTTTCTCATGATAAATATTACCAAGATTAAGCAAAAACATTAATTCAGCAAATGTAATCTTTTTTAATGCATTACTTTGTCTTTTTCGTGACCCGAGTAAAAGTATAGTCAAAGTATTTAGTTCAGGGTGTAATGATTTTAGATGAGAGGACTATGAGTGTTGTATTTTGAGAGTATTAGAAGCAAACAGTGGTACATAGATGAAGACTAGTGATGTCCCGAACGGTTCGCTGAACTGTTGTCACTTGTGGAAAATAAGCTTTTCCAAGCTGTCCCCATGATCTTCCTATATAGACTGGCATCTATTTCCAGATGAAGGAAAGATAGATGGCAGACCAGGATACTGAAATTTGAAATTTCAGTATCCTGGTCTGCCATCTATTTGAAATTTCAGTATCCTGGTCTGCCATCTATCTTTCCTTCATCTGGAAATAGATGCCAGTCTATATAGGAAGATCGTGGGGACAGCTTGGAAAAGCTTATTTTCCACAAGTGACAACAGTTAGAGCAGTGTTTCCCAACCCAGTCCTCAAGGCACACCTACCAGTCCAGGATTTAGGGATTACCCAGTTGTGTCTAAGGTGTTTTTACAAAGAAGAAAAAAACACCTTAGACACAACTGGGTAATCCATAAATCCTGGACTGGTAGGTGTGCCTTGAGGACTAGGTTGGGAAACACTGAGTTAGAGCCTGCTACCTTAGGCTCTATATATCGTGAGTGACCCATTACCTCTGTCATACACTTAATTTGTATATATACAGTATTATGCTATGTATGCATTATTATATTTTTCAGATTAACTTCAAGATTTACAATTATTAAGTATATGTATTTTGTTTTCCTTTGAATTACACCCCCCACTTTGTTATATTGTTATTTCATCCTTTGTATTTAGATTGAGTATATTCAAGCAACTGATTATCCCATGTAGCTTATATTCTGAGCAGAATTGTTGTGTTTGCCCTTCTGATGTATCCATTAGAGTTTTTATTTTTTTTAAATCATAAGTATTATGTAATTCATATAGGAACTACAATTTAGTAGAAGGCAAGGTAATATGAATTACATATGTTTTGAAGCCATTAAGTAAATCTACAGTTGCAGTTATGTGTTTGATCTGAGACTCACCACACCACTACACATATCATTAAAGCATCACAATGTTAATAGGTATAATTTAATTATTAATCTCCCCAGGATTATGTGTCATCTGATGACTGGGCAAAGGGACTATAAACACTGAAAGGCTCTTCTCCCACATAAGAGGAAATTCCAGGGAATTCCAGATGAGATACATGAGCTCCGCTATAGTATATTTATGGCTCTGTTGATTATAGCATTCAATATATTGTGACCTGTGTGAACCTCAATTGTCTAAATTCTTGGACACTGTTGAAGACCAGAGAGTTGGACAGTTCTTCAATGATATTCTGTATGAAGTGAAAAAAGCCTGAGGCAGTATATTATAGATTTTGTATATAAGTCTTGGCAAGGTCGATTACGGCCATGCATGAGGCATACACCTAGCCTATCTTTTGAGTGAAGCTTGCCTCTCAACATTGCAAGCATCAACTGCCAGTTCTGTGTTATAATGTTAAACTGAAGTGATTGTTTTTTGTGTGCAAAGGGGGAGGATAATTAACTAAAAGTCATATTTAACAGTCTCTTAAAAAAAAACTTTAATAATGCAAACACACTTATTTTTTTCTAGGGATACTGTAAAAAATATATTACCAATAGATTTGGTTAACAGAGTTTTGCTGAAACTGTCTTCAGAACATTGTTTCCATTTGTAAAACTTCACCACTGCGTGGACTTATCACCATGTCCATTCTAAAACATTAATCGGTACAGTTCTTAATATGAACACACTGTAATTGCGTGCAACACAATGAGCAGGTCTCAATGCCTGCTAGGAAAATGAGTATTAGGTACATTCCTCCTCTTATCTATAGTATTCTGCAACAGATGTTATATGTTAATCTCTTATCAAGGTGTGCGAGGAGTGGCAGAAGGTTACGTGCAGTGAGTTGGAATATATATTGATCTGTCATCTCTACCCACCACACAGGGAAATAGCCATAGATGTCCATCAGTTGACTCACTTTGAACACCACCCCCATGTTATCTCCCACCCTTACTTGCTTTGTACTATAAAGACACCAATGATCAAAAAAGAAAGAACACAGGCAAGAAGAAAGACCCATCCTGCCCTTTTGGACATTATTTCTGAAAAGCAAGTGGGAAATTAAGGCTATACCATGACATCTGTCATTGTGGTTATTGCAACAATTATGGGATGTGTCATCTTTACTGTGGACGTCACAAATGGTGAGTAAATAATAGCCTAGTCTAGGAAGAATGATTATAAAATAATTTATATTCACCAGGCAGCTGTAACATTTGAAATAAAAACCTTCAAATGCATCACTGCAAGAAAAGTTGTTTTTAAACCTGGTGGTAATATATGTCGCACTTGAACATAACATTTTCCCCACCATTTGGTTCACAGATCAAGTGAGAAGAAGTAACCAATGGAGTTTAAAAAAAGAGGAGCAGTAAAAAAAAAAAAAAAATTAAAAATCACATTTACATATATTAAACATATAATATATAATATAAATATTTTTTTTCTGCTCCTGTTTTTGTTTCCCCTCTGTTAGTCACTTTATCTGTGAATTAACATAGTGGCACATTTCTCATTTCTCAAATTTTCACAGGTGCTGCAGTACGAATATCCTGTCCACCTGGCTGGTTCTTTTACAGATCCCATTGCTATGCTGTGAGTAAGAACCCTGCTTCTTGGGCTGATGCAGAGGTAAGCCATTGTTTTCCAATTGATAATGATTGCCAAATAAATAATCTATCACATATGTGTCTTTCCTACGCTGAAGAAGTTCTCTTGATCCCCTTGTCCTCTAGGTTTATAGAACTCGCGCGTACACGCATGTTACTATCAATTCCAACTCCCTCTTTAACCCTCTTCAATCTGGCTTACATTCTCTTTACTCTGCTGAAACAGCCCTTACAGAAGTGATCAATGATTTGCACACTGATAACTCCAAAGTTCACTATTCTCTCTTAATTTTCCTTTCCTCTCTGTTGTCTTTAACATTGTCAATCACACACTCTTTTTTTTTTCCTAATCTTCCGTAACCTTAGTCTTCATGATTTTGTCCTTTCTAATTCTCATTAACAGGACTTCTAAAAGGCTGCTCCTTTTAAAATGAAATGCTCTATCCCATTCTTTTAGACCTACTCTCAGCTTCCATTCTTTTAAGAAGTCTCTAAACACATTTGTCTTGTTAAAACTTACCATCTTCCTGGGTAATTAATCACATTATAACAGTCCTCCCATCTCACACACTGCTCTACCTCAGTGAGGATTCCCATTCACAATTGCAGAGAGAATATGATTAATTCCTCTATGCGTTGCAATGCGTAAATTGAGGATTGTCCCTCACCACCTGTAGTCACCACATGGTTTGCACTTGTAGATATCTGAAGTCCCACTAGGACTCCTGATAGGCCAGAGTCTGTTTGGTTCTGGCAACCTCATGTCTATGCATGGCACACGTGCTATAGGTTGCTAACCACTGTTGTAGAATGTTTGATTCTGTATCTATATGTAGTGTCAAATAGTATTAGAGTTATATTGAAATTCAGATACTGGAAAGGGTTAATCTATACTGACCTAAAAAAGTGTACTGTGTAACAATCATAATTAAAGCACATTTATGTATAATATAAATACTCATTGTTTAGATTATTACAGTGTTTTCCAAAGTATGAGCACTTTTCTCTCCCTCGTCTCCTTTTTACAGTATGACTGTGTCAGTTATGGGCACGGGGCGCACTTGGCTTCTATCATGGATGATTCAGAAGCTGCGATCATTGCGAGTCATGTTTCAGCCAATCAAGATGCAGAAGGTGTATGGATTGGGCTCCATGATCCTGAGAAGGTCAGTGAAAGAAATCCTAAACAAGTTACCAAAGGAATAAGCGAAGTACCCTATTATGTCCTGAGTTGCTATTTATTTTTATTTGATCATTAAAGGGACACTAGGAACTTACAGCATTACCACATGGATGTATTTTTAATTAAATACTTATACCACAATATGTATCCAGGGTAACCTAAACACATTGGAAACATTTACAGCCACGTGTGGATCTGTTAGTAATACAGCTCATTTCAACACAATAATGAAAATATTGCTGGCTAATATATTCTGTTTAGGAATTAATATAACCCAGGCCTAACTTTAGCTGTACAATATTCAATTTCAACTTTAAACATTTGCCCAACATTGCCCAAAATCTCTTACACAGCATGGGGACCTATATCATGATCAAACAAAGTAGTAGAAAACAACAATATAAATGTTGACTCCAAGGTCCAGAGTTCAACAGTCCAAGAACAATGTAGTTGCAAATGAACGGATTCTTCCCTGGCCTGGAAACTGGCCCTGATTAATGTCCCCATGTTTGCTTGTGTCGGTCATTAATTTGGTTATAACCTTGCAGGCACTCAGCAAAAAGATACTATGAAGATTTAGTTCACAGTCCTCTAAAAATGTTGCTGCCAGTTGCCAGCCTGTACCTGCCAGCCCTCCACTGATTCAAAATGTATTTATCTTTTCTATTTTTGTAAGCCCTGATATAAGACTGAGCTAAGTTCATTTCCTGATAGAAGAAAAAAAAAGTAGTGGAGCCAAATATCTAGGATTTGCAGATTTTACCATATTTTCCTGGACATATTGGTGATATATATAGAACAAAAAGAATTAGCCGTTCAGCTATCTGAATGTTTTAAATATTTTATCAAAGTGCAGATGCCACATAACAGAGTTTGGCTGTTGTCAATAATACAGAATGCAGTGGGGGCGGGATCATATTTAATGGTTCTTCTCTCGGCAGAATGGTCGCTGGAAGTGGACAGATGGTTCTATGTTCAATTACGCTGCCTGGAAAACGGGCGTGCCAGACAATGCCAAAGGGAAAGAGTTCTGTGTTGTTCTTGTTACTGGTTCCAGTAAGTGAGAGTCATAAATTTTACTCCACATTCCAAGTGCAAGACTCTACATCAGGGGTGCCCAAAAGGTAGATCCCTAGATATTATAAAACTACAGCTTCCATGATGCTTTGTCATTCTAAAGGCATGCAAAGCATCACTGGAGTTGTAGAGTTACAACAACTGGGGATCTACCTCTGATTGAGTTAAAACATCAGCAAGACATATCTATATTTTATAACTGACAGTTACCCTGTTTGCATGCATGGCAAAAATGAATGGCAGTGAACAATTTAAAATCCAAACATATCCCAATTAATCAAAATATATACAAAATTGAGGCACAGCACACACATAAAAATGCCAGTTTTAAATCTAACAAGGTTACTTAAAATCACCTATCTTTGCAAACAAATATGGGGATTTGTTTACACTCTAAGGTCATATTTTGTTAAACCCACCAATATGTCACAGTATATCAATATCGGGAACCTCTTCTCTTTTCTCTCATTGCACACGTGGAGAGGCAGAAACAAGGTTTCTATTCACCCAATGCATACTGTGCTATGGCTGTGCCCTGACTTAAGTGCATTGTAATGTCAATTAGTGAATTTTTCATGGCCATTTAAAAGTAAACAGTACATCATATATAAAAAAAAATGTTCATCACAAGTTATAGGTGGATTTCAATGTTTTATTCAAAGATATAAAATTCATAAAAGTGATAGTTCCCACTTAGAGAAAATCAAATATTGGTTGTAAATATTTAGGTTATCAGCCAGTGATCAAACTTGTTTTGTTTTCTTGTCTTGTCTTGTCTATAGGCAATCTATGCATGTATTGGTTGGAAAAGGTTGGGGAAATATTACATTTCAGACATTTTTGATATATTGCACTTTTTCATAAACCATCTGTACTTCAAATGGATTTTCTACTTATATTCTCCATGCTCAACAATGAAAATATTAAAAAACATAAAATTGTGGCATGCTTTCAGATTCATGAAAACATATTAATGAGTATGTACTAGCCATGTATAAGCAGTTAATGCTCTTAATGCTGCTTCAACTGTCACCTTGAATTATATCACAGCTACATTAAGCCACTTTGATCAACGATGCATGATATGGTAGTTTGTGCATAGGAGTGCTTACATTCCCTCATTATGTAGCTTAGTATTCCTTAACTTAAAGGGATATCATCCCTTTCAGACATCTGTCTCATATAAAAGCTTTAGCTTTGAATGAGACAGTTGCCTCACTCTGCCAGCTGAAAAAAGCAGGAGAGTATAATTTATTTATTTTTCATATTCAACTTCTTGTTATTTGTTATGCTTGTCACAATATCTCCAAGGGGGCACTGAAACAGACTAGTTGACAGAAACAGGGCATCATTGCACAGTAGCAGTAGAGAGAAACTCAACAAGGGAGCCTGCTCTGCATGATCACACTGATTAGACTCCCTCTCTTCTCCCATTGCCCATTTTCCAGCATTCCTAGGGATAGTACAAGCAATGTACTATCCCTAGGAATGCTGGAAAATGGGCAATGGGAGAAGAGAGGGAGTCTAATCAGTGTGATCATGCAGAGCAGGCTCCCTTGTTGAGTTTCTCTCTACTGCTGCTGTGCAATGATGCCCTGTTTCTGTCAACTAGTCTGAAACTGAGAAGAGTGGTTAAGAGTGGGAGTGGGAGGAGGGCTGAAGGAACTCCACTAGCTGTGAGGTGTGCCCAACAATGCTAACTGACCAAGTTTAGAAACATTTATTATATAGTTTTCAAAGTTTGTCTTGCTTTATTTTGACTGGTTTGTTTATTTAAAAGTGTTTGCTTGCTGGTTTAAAAAAAATAATCAGGCAATGCATGTCCCTTTAAACATCCCTCTTTATTCCTGTGTTCTCTTTCAGAGTATAAGAAATGGAATGATGTTGGATGCGGTCCAGTTCGTAACTATGTCTGTAAATTCAAGCCCTGATTCTCCTCCACAATTTTCTTCTTACACAAAGTTTTATCGTTCACTTGCAGTAAACAAAATGTATAATACATATATGTATATAAAAAATCACATGTGCCTGTGTAATCACTACTTTCCAAGCCTGTGTATTTTTGTATTAGGTGATCATTGAGGTATTTAGGAAGTATATCCACAGCTTTTTTTAAAATAAAGAGCTAGATAGAAGATAGGTTGAAGAGGTAAGAGCTTTAATAAATGTAGATAGAAGAGGATGGAGTTAGGTTGAAGGATCAATGACGAGAAAGGAGGTATATAGAAGATAGATTGAAGAGGAGGGGGGTATATATAAGGCAGATTGAATAGAAGGTAGGTACATAAAAGGAAACCTGTGTGCTTTGGGGTGTTTGTGTTGCACTCTCTGTATCCAGGAGATAATGAGTTTAACCAAGAGCTGACTCAATTATCTCCCAGACACAGAGGTGCCTGGGCGGGCTTATGCTACAAATAATGGAGACCCCATGCTGACAGTCTGGGTATAAATCTATGTGCTTTGCTCAATAAAAAAAGATCTACTTCATACTTCACTAAATCTCGGCTAGTGTTTCGGTAAGACAACGGTACATCTTGCAGGACAGCATAATCACTCTGGAGCTATACAAAATAGGAATGGACAACCTAGGAGGTAGTAACCAATGTACTTGTGGGTATACTGTCACAACAACTTTGAATTATCTAGACATTTTAATGCTCAGAATCAAATTTACAATTTAGTTAATAATACTTGTAATGACAAAGTAGGATAAAGTAAATTATAGTGTTACAAAAACTATTGCATTTTAATTTTAGTTGGTGAATGATGATAATAATATACATCATCTACAGTAATGTAAGGACATTTTAGTTCATTTCTACATTAGAATCTGTAGTATGCTCATCTCCAGTACCATTGTGTTCTCATCTATAAAAATCCACTTCTGTAGAGAAGCGGCACAGCAACTTTCCAATAACTGGAAGGAACTGGAACGCAGCATTCAATAAAAATTTAATCATAGCGATTATTTTTCATGTTTATGATTGTGTGTTAGAGTTTACTTGGCACTGAAGGAATAATAAACTCTTCCTCTGTGGTATGGAACAGAGCCTAAACACACTTGTCCTAGAATGATCTATTTAAAAGCCACCTCACTAAAAGTGTATCAGTGAGGCAATTGCATTCCCTCTCCTCCTACACAACTATGCCCCTAAAGAAAGAATTGTAATGCCTACGGCATTCTGTTTCAATGGAATAGTAATTTAAATTGAGCTTAGTTGGTTAGAGTTCATTAGACAATTATGCATTGGACATTTTTGCCACTCTATCTTAATTGCAATCCCGTTCCCTAGTAATTATGCTACCACTCTATTTGCAAGTGCCAGCACCAAGAATTAAGAAGCTTCTAAAGCTCTCCACGACCCAACCCTACTTTTCTGAGTTGCAGGATGCTATTCCTCTTATTGCATGGTCATGAGCAGACTGTGCCTCGGTGTAAGTGGGAATTTAGCAATGTTCTATCAGGTCTGCCCTAAACGAGGGGTACGAAATGTCTCAAAATTGAGCATCTCACATTGGAAGAACCATCACTAGATTATAATGAAGTTTTTATTATTATTATTAAAGACATGGCTGACTAGAAATGCTGACTTAAAATGAAAATAAAACCCACAAAATGGTAGTAAAGGAGTAAATTGTGTAAGTGACTTTGATGGAGACACTTTTATAGGTAACAAGGGAGTGGATGAAGACGTTGAAATGGGCATTGTTTGAGAGGATAGGTGATAATGACACGGACTTTTCTTTTAGAATAGGAGGCATTCAAGTACGAGTTCAAAAACAACAAACTAAAATGAATGTCTTTATCAGTTATGTTTCCTTCTTTTTGCCTATTATAAGATTACACTCCACCTGGTGATTTCGAGTTCACATAAATCATCTTCGTTTTGGATCCCACAAGTCAGACAGGAGAACACAACGTACAATTCTTGTCTGTTACTAGTCAGCATTACCCAAACACAATTTCAAATGGGCCTAATTAAATTTTGAAAACACATAAAACCCAGCAGTCAGTCATGTTTTTGTATTGTACTGTATTGTGGCAGTGCTTTTGTCTGTGTGTAAGAGTTTTGTGTGTGTGTAATATATTGCGGACTTTAATGATGATGTCACTAATTTAAGAATAAATTATGCATCTTGAAATGTTTCTTATCAAGCATCATTAGGGTGCAGGATACTCCAATGTGCCTGCAACTGGGACATTTTGACACCATCTTCTCCAGGTAAATAGATGGGCCACCACCCTCTTCCTTGAGCCGAACATTTGTTTTTAAAGTGCAAGATGCAACAAATAAAACAAGTCAGGTTGTTCCTAGTAAAGAAAATACTTATTTTATATAAGCATACAATAAAAGAAAATCCACAGGTTATGATCCAGGATTTGTGATGACTCCACAAATATTCTTGATTATTTTAGCATACGGGGCTTTTGTCCATGAGTTCATGTGAACAGAAAGCAGAAGAGAAAACAATGGTACAATACTTCTTTGTAATTGGAGACACACAATGATTAGGTTCAAAATATTCAACTAACATGATATAGAGCTTTAGATCAACTCCAGTTTCTTAGGCATATAGTGCTACAATCCAGAATAGGTGGTACTTTGCAAGCCCATTACTTCAGTGAGCAAGCCTGATCGTCTGCAAAGCCTGATTCCCCAACTTTGCAAGCCCATTACTTCAGTGAGTAAGCCTGATCGTCTGCAAAGGTAGCCTTCTGGAAGACCACACTAAGACTCCATCCTGCACGCCTTCATTTATTTTTAACTTAACCACCCTGTACATTTATTTTATTTTTATTTTATATATCCTGTGTACACTGTATATTTTCTTGTATTTATATCTTGTCTGCTATGATAAAGTGTAGTTTTGCTAGCCCTGTATGTAATTGTTTTATTCACCTATATGCATTCCTCTATTTCCCCTCTGATTTGTGACTGACCTCTGACCCCTCCCTTCTCTTATTGATATGTTTGTTTTTATTTGAATATCCATATCTTCATCTCTGTACCTAGATACATATCCCCCTCCCTTACCTTTATTGCAAGCTCTCTGACCCTCACATTTCTTTATTCAACAGCCTGATTCCCCAACTTTGCATGCCCATTCCTTCAGTGAGCAAGCCTTCTTTCCCCTCAATGTACCTTTCAACCAATCATAACTCCCCCTGCCCTATCCTTTTCTTCTTTTGAAGTTCACACTGTCTGCCTATTTAAACCCACTCCTTTAAGAATTGCTATCATCTACCGCCCCCCGGTTATCCTAGACTATTCATTGAGCACTTTTCTTCCTGGCTTCCCCACTTCCTCTCATCTAGCACTCCTTCCCTTATACTTGGGGATTTCAATATCCCAATCAACAACCCCAATTGCACTGATGCCTCTCATCTGCTCTCTGTAACCTCCTCCAATGGCCTTATGCAATGGTCCAATTTAGCAAACAGCGGGAAACACTCTTGATCTTGATCACCAACCTCTGTACTTCCTCTAATCTCTCCAATATTAATTTTCCTCTATCTGACCACCATCTGCTGACTTTTGACATTGGCATACCTAAGGCCCAACTGACACCACCATCTGAACATCACTGTCACAGAAACCTCCAATCTCTTGACCTAGAGCATTTCTCCACTAATCTCCAAACTCTCCTTTTACCTATCTCAAACCTCACCTGTCCTAGTTCTGCAACCTCCTTCTACAATTCCACTCAACTAGACATCATGGCACCTTGTACATTTAAACGCCGCAGGCGCCCCCAACAACAACCCTGGCACACCAAGCTCACTCGATATCTCCAAAAATGCTCCAGAACTTCTGAACGCTGTTGGAGAAAGTCTCACTGTGCATCTGACTTTCTCCACTATAAATTTATGCTGAGTTCGGCTCTTTCCTCTGCAAAAGTTAATTACTTCAATAACCACCCTCATAACCACACTCTCCAAAGAACTGAAACGACTATTTCACACATTTAACTCTCTTCTTCGCCCTGCTGTTCCTCCTCCACCTACTAACTTGACTGCCTCAGACTTTGCAGCTCACTTCACTGACAAGATCTCTACAATCAGAGAAGGGATCTCTCATCTTTCTTCTTCCCCTTACAATACTTCCCCTAACTTCACTCCCTCTGCTGTTCTATGTTCATTCGCACTCACTACATTGGAAGAGGTTTCTGCTCTGATCCAGTCCTCCCGCCCCACCACCTGCTCCCTAGATCCAGTTCCCTTGCATCTCATCCGTACTCTGTCTTCTTCTCTTTCTCCACCTCTCACTAAAATTCTCAATCTCTCTCTCTCCTCTGGTATATTTCCATCGCCTTTCAAACATGCAACTGTAACCCCAATTCTATCTTGACCCTAACTCCCCATCCAACTATCGTCCTATCTCACTACTGCCTTTTGCATCCAAGATCCTTGAAAGAATTGTGTATGCGAGATTGACAGACTTCCTCGAGGCCAACTCTCTGCTAGACCCGCTTCAGTCTGGTTTCCGCGCTAAGCACTCTGTGGAAACGGCACTGACCGAAGTATTCAATAATCTACTCACTGCAAAATCTCGTGGTCACTACTCTATCCTAATTCTCCTTGACCTGTCTGCGGCTTTGACACTGTTGATCATCAACAGCTTCTTCTCATCCTCCGCAATATCGGTCTACAAGATATTGCTCTCTCCTGGTGCTCCTCCTACCTCTCCCAGCGCTCTTTCAGTGTTTCTGTCTCTGGCTCTGCTTCTTCTCCCCAAATCCTCTCTGTTGGTGGCCCCCAAGGTTCAGTCCTTAGTCCCCTACTGTTCTCAATCTATACTGCCTCCCTTGGTAAACTCATTAGCTCCTTTGGCTTCCAATATCATTTCTATGCAGATGACACACAAATCTACCTGTCCTCTCCTGATCTATTGACTAGTGTCTCTGACTGCCTCTCTGCTGTTTCTAACTGGATGGCTGCCCACTTCCTTAAACTAAACTTGACCAAAACTGAAATTCTGGTCTTTCCTCCCTCAAGTGTTGTTACTCCTGTGTCTGTCTTCCTCCAAGTCAATGGTGCTACCATCAGCTCCACCACGCAGGCTCACTGCCTAGGTGTTCTCTTTGTCTCCGACCTCTCCTTCAAGCCTCATGTTCAATCTATCGCCAAATCCTGTCAATTCCATCTCAAAAGCATTGCGCGCATCCTACCCTACTTAACGCCAGATGCAACTAAGGTGTTGGTCCATTCCACTGTCCTTTCTCGCCTTGACTACTTTAATCCGCTTCTCAGTGGTCTTACGTGCTCCCAACTTGCGCCGTTACAGTCCATAATGAATGCGGCAGCGAGGCTCATCTTCCTGTCCGCCCGCACCTCCCATTCTGTCAGTCCCTACATTGGCTTCCTATAAAATATAGAGCTCAATTTAAAATTCTGGTTCTTGCTTTCAAATCTCTACATAATGCTGCTCCCACTTATCTATCCTCCCTTATACACAAGTATGCCTTGTCTAGGCCCTTAGTATCTGCTGAAGACTTACGTCTATCTTCTGTCCGTACTTCCACCTCTGATGCTCACCTTCAAGATTTCTCAAGGGCTGCACCGTTCCTGTGCAACTCGCTTCCCTCCTCCGTTAGATGCTCACCCAGTCTCCACTCCTTCAAAAAATCATTAAAAAATCCACTTCTTCATAAAAGCGTATCAATTAAACTGTTAATAGCTCCTGAATGATTCCTCTTCTGCAACTGTCACTAGTCTAATACTATCCCTTACCTTTTTGTGTCATTTTACCCCACACACTCTAGCATGTAAGCTCATTGAGCAGGGCCCTCAACCCCTCTGTTCCTGTGTGTCCAACTTGTCTGGTAATAACTACATGTCTGTTCGTCCACCCATTGTAAAGCGCTGCGGTATTTGATGGCGCTATATAAATACCATAATAATAATAATAATCCCCACCAAGGATTAGGTAACCAAATGGGGTTCAATCAGATTGACAGAGAAAAACATTTGAAAAACAAATTTTATATATATTATATATACACACATACATATTATCCTTATTGAATATACCAGAGAGCTTTATATATAGAAATATATATTGATGAAGTCAAGGTAGTATGAGCACAAGACAGGAAAGATTCTTACATTTCTTATAAAAATAAAAACACTAATAATTCTTCATCTCTGCCAATCTCTGCTTGTTCAAGGTTTGCTGTCATAGGAATCTGGTAGTTGATAGTTTAGCACTTGTCCATAGTATTTTGTTAATTGCATGTGTTTTCAAACAACGTGCTCAATGAGGAATATTTATCAAAGTGCTCTGTTCTAAAAAGTGTCCTACATTACCAAAAACTAAATTGAAACTTACACCAAAATTAACACTGTCGGGTAAGACACAAGGGGGAGGGAGGAGAGGAAATGAGACAGAAGGGGGGCTTAGGAAGTGAGAAACATGGTGGCTGAGGGATTAAAACACATAGGGGATTGGGGGACTGAGACATATGAGGGGCCTGGGGGAATGATACACATGGGGGGCTTGGAAAATGAGACACATGAAGGGACTGGGATATGGGGGGAAAGGAGCACATGGAGGGACTGTGAAGGAATTGACAAATGGGCGGCTGGGGAAATGAAACATGGGAGAGATGAGATGCATGGACAGGGCTGGCCTTAAGCCATTAGGCGTCCCGTGCAAAAAGTCTTCAAGGCGCCCCCCCTCCCACCAAGTTGCCTGTATACAGTCACACACACAGGCAGACAGTCAATCAAACAGTTACAAGCAGACAGTCAGACACGCTCAGTTAGAGACAGACAGTCACACATACACACACAGAGTTACAGGCAGACAGTCACACATGCTCAGTTACAGGCAGACAGTCACAGAGCCAAACACACAGTTAAACGCAGACAGTTACACACAGTTACAGGCACACAATCACAAACAGTTACAGGCACACAGTCACACATACTCCATTACAAGCAGACAGTCATACACACTCACTCGGTTACAGGCATGCAGATAGGCACACACACACTCAGTTAAAGGGACACTCCAGTGCCAGGAAAACAATGTTTCCTGGCATTGCAGGTTCCCTCTCCCTCCCACCACCCATACCATGTTGCTGAAGGGATGAAAACCCCTTCAGTGACTTACCTGAGACCCCCGCCGATGTCGCTCGGCGGTGCTCTCAGGTCCGGCCACGCTCCTCCCACGCCGACATCATCATCCGCCGGGGGAGACCGGTCGCGCATGCGCGGCCCCCGGCAGGGGAGACCTAAAGCACATGAGCGGCAATGTTGCGTGCGCGCATTAGACCTCTCCATAGGAAAGCATTGGGGAATTGAGTGACACTGGAGGTCCTCACATAGCGTGAGGACATCCAGTGGCGCTATAGCACAGAAAACCTGTGCTAGAAACCAGGAAGTGCCCTCTAGTGGCTGTCTAGTAGACAGCCACTAGAGGAGGAGTTAACCCTGCAATGTAATTATTGCAGTTTATGAAAACTGCAATATTTACAGCTGCAAGGTTAAGGGTAGTGAGAGTTGGCACCCAGACCACTCCAATGGGCAGAAGTGGTCTGGGTGCCTGGAGTGTCCCTTTAAAGGCAGATAGTCACACATACAGGCACACACAACAGCACAGCTACAGTGATTCACACAATTGGAGTCACACACAGTTAAAGTCACACACAGGCAGACAGTCACACACACACAGGGAGGCAGTCACACAGACAGACAGTCACACACACACAGGCAGGCAGTCACACACACAAGCAGGCAGTCATGCACACAGGCAAACAGTCACACACAGGCAGTCAGACAGTCACACACACAGGCAATCACACAGACAGTCACACAGGCAGACACAGGCAGACATGGGCAGGCAGGCAGTCACACACACAGGCAGGCAGTCACACACACAGGCAGGTGCAGTCACACAGACAGACAGTCAGACACACAGGCAGGCAGACATTCAAACACACACACACACACACACAGGCAAGCAGACACACAAACAGGCAAACAGTCACACACAGGCAGGCAGACAGTCTCACACACACACACAGGCAGGCATTCACACAGACAGACAGTCACTCACAGGCAGGCAGACACACAGACAGACAGTCAAACACACAGGCAGGCAGTCACATACACACACACACATATACACACACACAGAGACTTACCTCTTTCCAGTATGACTTAAAGGGTTTGAGGATGCAGTTGGTTGTTGGGGAAGCAAGGACTCCTTCCTTCTTCCTTCTTCCTTCTTCCTGTGCAGCAGTTACCAGGGGCTTCGGGTAGGTATTAGCCCTTACCTCCGCCTCGCGATAAGCCTCGCCCCACCACTCTGTAAGCCCTGCTCCACCTCGATTTTCTTTCTTTTTTTTTTTTTTACAGACCCGGGTGGAGAATAAATAATCCTCTACCCAGGTACCTGTTTTAGCTCCCCTGCTCTCCTATCACCAGACCATGTGTGAGCTGTGTCAGCCACATGGCGCCTCCTGGTCCATGGCGCCTCGTGCGGCCGCACAGCTCGCAAATACCCCTAAGGCCGGCCCCGTGCATGGATAGGCTGGGGGGACATAAAGCAACAGAGGATCTGGGGGATAAAGACCCACAAATGGGGCTATGGAAAGAAAGACACACAGAGGGAAAGGGAGAAAGGGGCAAAAAGACAGTCCAGGGCTTGGGAGATAAACACCCAGAGGGGCTGGGAGGCCACAAAGATACAAAGGGTCTTGGGAAGGGGCAAAAGAGAGAGATAGAGACTTTAACTAAACCCATTAGATTTTAGTTGTGTTGACTAAAATCTACTGGAAATTTAGCCGACTAAAACTAGACTAAAGTTAAAACAATTCAAATGACTAAAACTAGAATGGCTTTTTAGTCAAAAGACTGACTAAAAATGAATTAAAATTTGCCACCAAAATTAAAGGAACATTATAGGGTCAGGAACACAAACATGTATTCCTGACCCTATAGTGCAAAACACACCATTTAGGTGGCTTGCCCCCACCCCCTTACACCTCTTAAAAGTATTAAAAACTCACCTTATTTCCATCGCTGTGGGGGTCCGCCGGCACTGCCAAGCCCCCTTGGTGACATCATCAGAATTGCCCCATGGGGAAAGCATTGGATTGGCTAAAATCGGCAAGGGGCGGATCCAAACACATTTTTGGGGAATCAGTGGAGACACTGAATGGCAGAGCTGCCTACTGTGCAGCACTAAGTCAGGAAGCATCTGCAGTGGCCATCTGATGAGTGGCAACTTGGAGGTGTCCCTAGGGGCAATGTAAACTTGCATGAATATGCCTGAAGGGAGCTATTATACTCACCAGAACAGCTACATTAAGCTGTAGTTCTGGTGACTATAGTGTCCCTTTAATACTGCGGTGTAGTTATTTTGCTTTAATCTTACCGGCCTTTATGTTAGTTATAAGCTTTGCTAACAGCTAAAGGAGCAGTATGTATCATTGCATGCCATTTCAAGCTTCCAGTATTGATCTCGGAACCTGTACATTTGGCAATTAAATCAGACAGACATGTCAGATTTTTTAAAAAAAGTTGTGAATGTTTGTATACTCGTTTTCTGGTCCCACTCAAGCATACCAACTGCTATTAAATGATCTGAAAAGCAATCAAATAGAATCATAGCGAATGCTTTTTTTCCAAGATCATTATTTTAGGTGACTAGTCTATATTAGCACAAATACATAATGGAAATACAAGAGAAGAGATCAATATACCAGTTTTTACAGAGTCCCATGGAAATAAATGCAGATAATGAGTATTCTTTCCTGAGAAACCTACCAATACCAATGGAAACTCAACAGATAGAAAAAAAAGGATATCCCCCACCCCCAAGAGGAGTCCTTTGACTACTCCATGATTAGTTTTACAGAGCTACTGATTTTTTTCTGCATAGTCTCGCTCTGCTCAGGACTGGATGTGTGGGAGAAGTCATATAACAGTATTTATGCAATACGTTAAGAATTTCAACCCACCCTTGGGCTTATTGCTTTTATTTTATCTTTGGCCCCACTTGAGGCATTTTCTGAATACACCTACTGTAGAATACTTCATCTGACTGATTCCATGCATGACTCAAAGATTTCTTCATTAATAGCTCAGCATGTGTTCCAGTCACAAATGCATAATTGTTCTCATAACTCAAAGCTAATAACTGCTAATTGTCAGGAACCATTCATGTAGCTGATCTGTGACTCATTTGAGGTCATAAAGAATCAATTCATTTGCTTTTCCTGTGGTTTATTTGTCTCATATGAAAAGTTTTGGGAACTACTTTGTACTGTGGGCCATTTGAAAAATAGTCCACAGCATGTCACTGCTTGTTTTATTTGCCCATTAATCGTGTTTATAAAATGTAATCTGTTTAGTATTATTTTATAATTTGCACGCCAGATTAGGCTGTATAAAAAATAACTTTAAAATAATGGTGTACTCCTTCCATACCAAGGTATGCCTTATATTATTGGAACATTGAAAACAATAACTTACATTTCTCAAAGAGCTCTTGACTAGATGACTTCCATCCTTTATTGTCCTTACTCCCATTTCCCATTTGAAAAAACCCTCCAGCAAGTTCCATTAAATAGGATTTTGAGCCCCAGTATGTAGCAGCATATCTTTTATTAGAAGAACATTTAGTGTTATTTACTAAAATGAGTGTAACAGAAGAACCCATGCTATGGCCTTTTGGTGAGGTTTAACGGCAAGCCTCTTGCCCACAGACTATGTACCTGGTTCCAAGGGCTTGTTATAGTAACAATTGAAAATCAAACTATTCATTGTTATTTGATAACTCTGCAGTACCCTCTGCTGGCTGAATGGAAGCGTGTGCATTTACATAATGCTGGTATGCAAATGAGGACAACCAAATACATGGTTAAATGCATATATTGTTGCTTTTTATTGTGTTTGAAAATATTATTTGCATTATATAATTCCTGAATTAATTCTAATTGCTAATGTTCTATGTGTTAGTATTTTAAATGTTTGTCACCATATGCTTAAAGGGACACTCATGGCACCCAGACCACTTCTGCCCACTGAAGTGATCTGGGTGCCAACTCCCACCACCCTTAACTCTGCAAGTGTAATTATTGCGGTTTTTATAAGGGAGGAGAGCAGGCGGTGCCTGACACAGCGCCGAGGGACATCGGCGCTGGAGTCCGGTAAGTCACTGAAGGAGTTAGGAGTGTACTAATGTGCATCTGTTTTTAATTCACCTTACTCTGTGGTTGGGCACTTTGGCTACCTTTTTACTCTAAGGAAAAGGGCTTGTTAGTCATGCTGGGGACTGCCTTGAAGCAGTAGGGGGTTAACATATTATTAGGAGTACAGTTTCTGCTTTTATAATTTAGAGGCAGCTTATTCTTCATATTTATGCGAACTACACTTTTAATGTTGCCTTTGTTCTACACTCTAATTCGAACTCCTTTACCACTCCCTGCTTTATATTTGAACACCTGAGGGACTGCCTCAATGCAGTAGGGGGGTAACATATTATAAGGGGTATAGAATTTATCTTTAGAATATAGAGGCAGGGAATACTTCATATGTGTATTAACTACACTTCAATGTTGCCTTTTTTCTAAACTTTAATTCTTACTCCAATTCTACTTCCAGTTTTGTATTCAAACATTGCTTTCATACCAAATGCTACCTTCTAGCAATCTGTATACCCAGTTAATTGTCCCTTTTTGCAATTTAATGGTTGTTCTAAGTGGTATTTTCTAGTTTCACTGATTGAGCTTGGTTACATAACATCTAATCAAGTATACTAGGTGGCTACCACTTAGATAGTATATCTGTCTCATTCACCTATAGGAGGTTTAATTAAAAGAGGAGATTTATTCATATTCTCTCCTTCCTCTATTTGCTCCTAGTTTACTTCCAATATAGGAATACTTTTAGTATTTATAATAAAGCTACACTCTATATATCTCTCTAAATCATATCTCATAATTCAATAGGAATAATCTACCAACCACAGTAGCTTTTTCACGCAATCGCATTTGTAGAGCACACTATTTTTGAGGGGTTGTTTATATAGGTTTTATTTCAATTAATACAATTTGCATTTTACCTTGATATAGTGGCTTCAATTAACGGTAACTTCTTGGGAAATTCCTACTTTGTTGGGTCTTTCTCAAACTTTCTTTCTTCACTGCATATTTATTGTTAGATAAATGAGAGAATGGAAAACAAAATGTGTATTGGATGGATATTACAGAAAGAAAAATAAACAATCTTACCAACAAAAATGAGGTGATAAATGGCAGCACAATGTGTGATTTATAGAATGAGTGGGTGTATGAAGGAATTACAATTTCCAGCTATCCCTTTACTGATTATATATGCTGTCCTTTCTTACCAAATGGTTACGGTGGACATTGGCTTGTTCCTTGCTGTATGGTGTAATATATTGTATAGCTGCAGTCAGCAGATTCTATAGTTGGCACTGTCTGTTAGTTAAAACAAAAATGGATATCATGAGTAGAAAGTTGTTTACCCTTTAATTGACAGGTAACATGTGGCTTTGTCCTAACTTTAACCTTTATCCATTCTATTGCTAAAATTAACCTTCTAAAGTGTCATGAGTCTGCAATATATTACCATACAACACAAAAATTATATGTATACAGTATCTCATAAACGTGAGTACAGCCCTCACATTTTTGTAAATATTTTATTATATCTTTTCATCTGACAACACTGAAGAAATTACACTGTGCTATAATGTAAAGAAGTAAGTGTACAGCCTGTATAACAATGTAAATTTCCTGTCCACTCAAAATAACTTAACACACCATTAATATCTAAACTGTTGGCAACAAAAGTGAGTACACCCCTAAGTGGAAATGTCCAAATTGGGCCCAATTAGCCATTTTACCTCCCTGGTGTCATGTGACTCGTAAGTGTTACGAGGTCTCAGGTGTGAATAGGGAGCAGGTGTGTTAAGTTTGGTGTTATCGCTCTCACACTCTCTCATACTGGTGACTGGAAGTTCAACATGGCACCTCATGGCAAAGAACTCTCTGAGGCTCTACAAATTAGACTTGTTGCTCTACATAAAGATGGCCTAAGCTTTAAGAAGATTGACAAGACCCTGAAACTGCGCTACAAGTGGGCAAGACCATACAGCAGTTTCACAGGACAGGTTCCACTCAGAACAGGCCTCACCATGGTTGACCAAAGAAGTTGAGTGCACGTTCTCAGCATCATATCCAGAGGTTGTCTTTGAGAAATAGACATATGAGTGTTGCCAGCATTGCTGCAGAGGTTGAAGGGGTGGGGGGGTTAGCCTGTCAGTGCTCAGACCATACGCAGCACACTTCATCAAATTGGTCTGCATAGCTGTCATCCCAGAAGGAAGCCACTTCTAAAGATGATGCACAAGAAAGCCTGCAAACAGTATGATGAAGACAAGCAGACTAAGGACATGGATTACTGGAACCATGTCCTGTGGTCCGATGAGACCAACATAAACTTATTTGGTTCAGATGGTGTCAAGCATGTGTGGCGGCAACCAGGTGAGGAGTACAAAGACAAGTGTCTTGCCTACAGTCAAGCATGGTGGTGGGAGTGTCATGGTCTGGGTCTGCATGAGTGCTGCTGGCACTGGGGAGCTAGAGTTAATTTAGTGAACCATGAATGCCAACATGTACTGTGACATACTGAAGCAGAGAATGATCCCCTCCCTTTGGAGACTGGGCCACAGGGCAGTATTCCAACATAACAACCCCAAACACACCTCCAAGACGATCACTGCCTTGCTAAAGAAGCTGAAGGTAAAGGTGATGGACTGGCCAAGCATGTGTCCAGACCTAAACCCTATTGAGCATCTGTGGGGCATCCTTAAACAGAAGGTGGGGGAGCGCAAGGTCTCTAACATCCACCAGCTCTGTGATCTCATCATGGAAGAGTGGAAGAGGACTCCAGTGGCAACCTGTGAAGCTCTAGTGAACTCCATGCCCATGAGGATTAAGGCAGTGCTGGAGAATTATCGTGGCCACACAAAATATTGACACTTTGGGCCCAATTTGGATAATTCCACTAAAGGGCGTTCTCACTTTTGTTGCCAACGGTTTAGACATAAATGGCTGTGTGTTGAGTTATTTTGAGGGGACAGCAAATTTACACTATTATACAGGCTGTACACTTCCTATTTTACATTGTAGCAGAGTCATTTCTTCGGTGTTGTCACATTAAAAGATATAATAAAATATTTGCAAAAATGTGAGGTGTGTACTCACTTTTCTGAGATACTGTACATTAAATAATAACAATCCATACTCCACATACCCCACTTCTTTTTCTTTTATGACAAAACACAAAAACAAAAAAGAAACAGCACTAGTGGAAAAACTGAAAAAGAAAGATAAAAATTAAATACATCAATAATAACCCCCGCCCCCCCCCCCAAAGTCAAATAAAAGCGATACCAACAGAAAAGGGAAGAATTAACATACAAGGGCTGAATAAGCACTTTTTATGAACCACTGTTTTAAGTGGTCAATTTCAATAAAGTATTATTTTTTTTACTTTTGTTATTTTTAGTGCTTTTTGGCTCTTCTCCCTACTATTGCTTCAGCTCACTACCTAGGTATAGGAGAAGCCTCATAAGTCTTGTATCTAATTATACTTTGTATCTACACGGAGGATTTTTGATATATTATTATTTTGTTGTTACACTGATATGATTATACATTTACTTGATACTTATGATCATTGTTTTAAAATGACCCAAATAACCCAGACCACTTCAGCTCAATGAAGTGGTCTGGGTGCCAGGTCCCTCAGGTTTTTAACCCTTCACATGTAAACATAGCCGTTTCAGAGAAACTGTTATGTTTATATTTGGGGTTAATCCAGGCTCTAGTGGCTGTCTTCTGGACAGCCACTAGAGGCGCATCTGCGGCACTAGAGGCGAATTTCACCTCCATCGCGCAGATCGTCCATAGGAAAGCATTTAGAAATGCTTTCCTATGGACACTTTGAATGCACGCGCAGCACTGGCCACGCGTGCGCATTCGGCTCCAGTGACATCGGACGGGGGAGCTGACGTTGGACGGGGAGGAGAGGTCACCAGCGCCGGGCTGGTTTAAAGTTAGTAATTGAAGGAGTTTTAACCCCTTCAGCGCCACGATTTGTTTTCCTGACACTATAGTGATCCTTTAATATTTCCAGACAGCACTCGTTTATTCACATTGTGATAAGTGTTCTTTTTTATATATATATATATTTTTTCCCCAAGTTTATATCTTATCATTTCTTAATTAATTTGTGCAGCTCAACCCACTAAACTACCACATGAACCTAACCCAGTAACTATAATGTCTTGTCTGGGGCAATGGTGTGATCTAAGTGATACATTATGCAACATAATTTCATAAAACCACTAAAAATCCCTTTCTTGCACTGATACAAATGATGTACAGTTAAAACATTGTATAGAAATCATCCATTTATTTCATTGTAAATACCAGGTAACCAAACAATATGAAACGTCATATGCAACTTGTGCAGCAGAATCTAAACATACTTGTATAGGGTCACCTTCCTGAAATGGAGGATTGTTAGACTTCGGTACATAAGTAGAGGATAGTACAGAAGCCATAGGAGTAGAAGGCTGTACTATTTAATCAATTCTAAAAATAAACTGTAGGATACCATTGTCTGTACAGCACCATCCACCTAAAGAATCTAAGGGATTGAAATTGCAGCTGAGGTGGAAAGATTCTGGACTTCTCGAATACCACAGAAAACAAGATTATCCCTATTGGTGAAAGAGTGACTGATAGAAAAATGAAAAAATGTCAGAAGGGGTAAATTGCAAATCAATATGGCATAAAAAGCAAATATTCTCGTCAAAATACATAAGCGCCCCATATCCTGGAATAAGATGTCTCATTGATAAAACATTACTGATCATGGTCAAACCTTGGAACACTAGCAATAAAAAGTTTGTGGTGATGCAGAATTATGAGAGATGTGATATATTAGACAGATTGATGTAATTTTACCACATTGAAAATGTACATAATGAAAAGATATGGTCACTGCTAGTACCAGGGCGTGATATTAAATACATAGGTTGAAAAGGAAGAATTACTTCTGAAGAAGTAGAAGATGCAAGATACTCGGGCAGATTAAGATAATCCAAATACAAGACATTAATGAGGATTATAAAGCAAACAGAAAAGATCAATACATCCCACAAAGTAAAAAATACCACCAAGACATCATTGTGTTATAATAAAGTATGCAAGATAACAAAATAGCTACAGACAGACTGAACATTAATCTTAGAATGCTAGAGATATGACATGCAAATACATTTTGGAAAAGAATAGAAAGGAAAATAAAAGTGAAAGCATCACAATATACTAAAAACAAAAAAATCTAACACATTGTACATAAGGTAGTCTAGCCGATTATTTCCTACTTGGATCTTATAAGACCATATTTCACCGAAATGAAGAATGGATATAAAGGTGCACCTATCATTCATAGTGAAAATAAGATTCTGTAACAGACGTTCTAGATTCACAGTCACTTGTACCATTTTCTGAAAAAGAAAATATTTAAAATACCAGACATAAGGCTTTAGGAGCTCTTAAACAATTTAAGTTGCATTACATGCTCATAGACACTTAAACTATCTTATTTTTGAACCAGATAACCTGAGGGTCCAACTCTGTCTACAATAAGAGAAGGACCTTCTTAGCTATCCTTAGGAAATTTCCTAGGGTTTTTCTGGCCTTTATTAAAGCATGCAGCCCGAATCTCCCACCTGGTATTCAGTGAGGTCAGAATATTGATCAAAACCACTTATGCTTTTTAAGGCCTACACAGCATTAGCATGCAGTGCTTGTCCTTGTACTGTTGTTAACCATAGAGAATGTTATTTTGCCCACTCTCCATTGCATAAACCTAATTAAGTAGATGTATCGATAGGAAGCAAAAGACCTCACTTCCTTAAACTCAACTTGACCAAAACTGAAATTCTGGTCTTTCCTCCCTCAAGTGTTGCTACTCCTGTGTCTCCCTCCAAGTCAACGGTGTTACCATCAGCTCCACCATGCAGGCTTGCTGCCTAGGTGTTCTCTTTGACTCCAACCTCTCCTTCATGCCTCATGTTCAGTCTATCACCAAATCCTGCCGCTTCCATTTCAAAAACATTGCGCGCATCCTACCCTACTTAACTCCAGATGAGACTAAGGTGCTTGTCCATTCCACTGTCCTTTCTCGCCTTAACTACTGTAATCCACTTCTCAGTGGTCTTACATGCTTCCAACTTGTGCCGTTACAGTCCATAATGAATGCGGCGGCAAGGCTCATCTTCCTGTCCGCCCACAACTAATGCCTATCTATCCTCCCTAATACACAAGTATGTCCCGTCTAGGCCCTTACGCTCTGCTGGAGACTTACGTCTATCTTTGGCCGTACTCTTCCCTCCTCTGTTAGATGCTCATCCAGTCTCCACTCCTTCAAAAAATCATTACAAACCCATTTCTTCATAAAGGCGTATTAATTAAACTGTTAATAGCTCCCGACTGATTCCTCTCTTGCAACTGTCACTAGTCTAATACTATCCTTACCTTTTGTGCCACTTTATGTCTTATAAACCAGATATTTGACCAAAAGAATCAAATGTAACCAACAACTATCTGCATGTTAATACAATACATAGGGTAATGCAATTACAATAAAATAGTACTGATGAAAAATTTGTTTTCCCATATACATCATGCTTTTTATACTAAGAGAAATTTAGTTTGTCGGACAAAATTCAAACTAAATGTTGCACATGTCTAATAACAAATGATACATTATGGAAAATAATGGATCCAAATGGTTCAAGAGTTGCTCAAACTTAAAGATCTATGTATGTATTTATACTGTATGTTTATTTGATTGTACAAAAAACATTTCTTTATCTTTTTTTCTAGGTGTGGAGAGTTAAGCCCTTTAAATAAGGGAAATAAAACAATCCTTATTGCTAAGTCCTGTATCTCCTGTGTGCTCTCCATCTGTCTTTGTGTCACTCCCACCTTGAGACCTGACTCTTTCTTTATGGAAGATATAAAGTATATAAAGTCACCTGCCCAGCACAAGGCTCTGCAGAGACATCCGACTGACCTACACTCTGAATCAGGTAAAGACACACTACTATGAATACATCAAGCTGGGATGGTAAAGATGTGAACAAAATGGGTTTAACTGAGCAGTAGTGTCTGGTGGAAAATATGTTCTTAAAGGGACACTAGAGGCACCAGAAAACCTGAGCTCATTGAAGTGCTCTGGGTGCAGTGCCCCAGGTCCATTAACCCTGCATAGGTAATTATAATTATTGCAGTTTTTAATAAACTGTAATCATAACCTCTGAGGGTTAACTTCACCTCTAGCGGCTGTCTAGCAGATAACCACTAGAGGGACATTCAGGTTGTTAGGTGACTTTTGGTCGCCTGTTATGCATGAGCACATTCAGCTTCACCTGACACCCCATAGGAAAGTATTGTACGATGCTTTGCTATGGGGCAAGTCCTAATGCAAGCACAGTCAGTGGACCTGGGAAGAGCAGAGACGGAGCCTGAACCAGCACTGAGGGACATCGGTGCTGGAATCAGGTAAGTGACAGAAGGGTATTCTGCACCACAGTGGGGTGCCGGGATCACAATTAAGTATCAGGCAGTAATTTGATTATGCTGTGATGATCTGCACTGCTAGTGAAGAAAAAGGCTAAATAAATAAAAATTCGGTTTTGTAGAACTGTAGCAATATAACCTTTATTAGACTGTTTTGTGTAAGTAAGACACAGACGAGTTGTCTGGGAAGAGAAAATACCCCAAACTGTAGTATTTTACAGGAATTAATTTAAACAAGATATTTTAATAAATTCTTGTTTTCGTGATGTTCTTGGAGTAATGTCTACTAACCTTGGGAAGCACTGAGACCCAATAATCTACAATGTTAGAAAGCATTATACTGTGTTCTGGATATTTTAGTAGTACTCATTAGTAGTAATGATATGGTTTCCTGATGTTTCCCCCAGGATGCAGAGCTTTTCTTCCTTCTGTGTTGTCCTACTGGGCTGTATGATCCTCGGAGTGCAGCAATCAGAAGGTGAGTGATGAGGCAGGTTTACACTTGTCTAGAGGGATCGTGAGCTGTATCTGACTCTTTAAAACACTGCAGATAGGCTTATTGTAACACACAGAATGACAGCTTGAAACTGGCTATATTTATTTAGCATTCGCCAGCCTCACTGCTCAAAGGACTCAAAATGTTTCATTCACTCCAGCAATGAAGTTGAAGGAACACTCCAAACACCTACTTCAAGTGTTAATTGCCAGTTCATACAGACTTTTTATATAAAAGCGCCAATTTCAAGAGAAATCAGCACTTTTATATATCCTCTTAATAATAATAATAACACCTCTTGATTGTCTGGCAGATAAACGGAAAGGTTTTAGTGCTTCTCTACGAGAAGCATTAGTGGTGGCTCATGGCCATTGCCACACACGTGTTGCATCCCAATGCATTTCTATGAGAGGTAATTAATTGGGCACAAGTCACCAGTAATGATGATTACACAGGAGACAGATTAAAGCTGCAGCAGATTAGAACTGGAATAAGGGTGGGCTTAATTTATTTTAATCCTTTCAATGACAAAAAGGGGGGACAGAGCAGAAATCTATATAAAACCAACCGCTTATTAAAATATAAATATTGTAAAAAATGAAAACCATAAAAAAATGAAGTAAAAAATGAATATATATAAAATGTATTTATTTTTTAATTGGACTGTTCCTTGTAGGCACTTTAACAACTTAATCTTATTGAAGTTGTTATAGTGTCTGCAGTTCTCTGAGGAGCATTGGATTGGCCCATCATACTGGAGATATGCCTCGAGGATGACACAACCTGATGAGGAGGTTGCAACAGTGCCAAGGAAAACTTGGTGCAGGAGAAAGTATGAGTTATTCAATTCATTTTATTTACAGGGGGGGACTGATATGATATCTAACTCGCGGCCCGTTGATGGGGGATATTGAAAAGTGGGATATTGAAAAATTTTTGCACCTGCATTGGCCTGCACTCCCTGTTTCCCCGGCAGCTTATGGCTCCATAAGGAAACTGCATGCACTGCACGCTGGGAGGGGGAGCACCTCCCGCTCTGCGTCAGAGCACCCGGTGTCATGTGACTACCCAGCGATCAGTCTGACTCAACGTGCGTGCCGCCGAAGAGTGAGAGGCCCCTCTCTCTTGCTATGACAGGTAAAACAGCATGATGGGGGCCATCTATCCATAGGAGACATGAATGGAAGAGGTAGGAAGGGAGATATGGGGCGGGGGAGATATAAATGGAAGGTAGGTAAGGGAGCTATGAATGGAATGGGGGGAAGGGAGCTATAAATGGAATGGGGGGAGGAAGCTATGAATGGAATGGGGGGAAAAGCTATGAATGGAATGGGGGGGAGGGAGCTATGAATGGAATAGGGAGTGAGCTATTAATGGAATGGGGAGGGAGCCACAATGGAATGGGGAGGGAACTATGAATGGAATGGGGAATGGAGCTATGAATGGAATGGGGGAGGGGGCTATGAATGGAATGGGGGGGAGGGAGCTATGAATGGAAGGGGGGAAGGCAAAATGCATGGGAGGTGGGGGAGGGAGCTACGTATGGATGGAATGGGTTGGGAGGGAGACGTGGGGGAGAAATGTGGCGGAGAGACACGTATGGAAGGGGGAGGGAGACGTGGGGGTAGAGATATGAATGGAAGAGGGGAAAGGGAGACATGGATGGCAGATATGGATGGAACGGGGATAGGAGATATGGATGGAAGGGGGGGGGAGCGATATGGATGGAAGGGAGAAGAGAGACATGGATGGAAGGGAGGTAGAAGAGTGGAGTGTGCAGCCACACCTTACCTTGCCTGGAGATTGCAGAGGGACTAGGGAGCGAGTGGAGCAGATAGTGTGGCTACCTACCTGGCTGAGACTGTAGTTTGCAGAGGGACTGAGTGAGCGAGCGGAGTAGACACTTCAGACAGTGGCATTACTACTGAGATAGTCAATAAGTTGAAGTGAAGCTTTTGAGTGAATTCTATATATTTACCCAGGATTACATATTGTTTGCAATGATACAAGTCATTTTAGTTTGTGTTGGTCTAGGCCGAACTCTAAGCTGATCTATGACCCTTTAGCTGAACACATCCTTGTTCATGCTGTGAATTGTCCAGTCAAAAACATTGTGGCACACTGATTACATTTGAAAGTTATAAAAAATATACATGAATATAGATTTTAACAGCAAGTAAAACATTATTACGTATTACAATACTGGATCTTGTACAAATCATATGGACAAAATAAAATGCTCAAATAGGGCTGGCAAAGGTCCCGGAATGTGCTTCTCTTATTCTTGTTTCTTCCTGTGGAGCTTTTATTTCTTCATTTAATCTCACACAGCAGATTGCTGATACTGATAATATCTTCTAAAGTACACTGTGTGTACCTGCATGTAAGAAGGGGCTAAATGAACATTTTTTTTAAAGTATGTATGTAGGGAGCCTGTATACCGGTAAGTCTCAGCCTGGGAGGAGCATCTAGAGCTGAAAGAAAGAGATTTAAGGAATTGAGCAGTGAGACTGTACTTTTATGATTTATAGAACAAAACTACTTCATTAAAGGAAGATGCATCACTTTCAGACAATTGTCTCATTTAAAGGATTTAGTTTTGAATGAGACAGCTGCCTCGCTTTCCAGGCTGAAAAAGCAGGGTACATATGAGGTTTTTTTTCACATTTACCTGCTTTTTCTTTCTGATGCTTTCCACACCCACAACAGGGGTGATGTTAATCTAACCAATCAGTGTCCTGTCCCTAGGAATGTTGGAAAAGTGCGTTGGGCATGCATGACAGATTTACACGTGTGCAGTTGGAAGATATCTTGCAACATCCTGACAAAGGGAGAAGAGGGAGTCTGATCAGTGTGATAACGCAGAGCATGCTCCAGTCTCTGGTTTTACTTTCCAATGATGCCGTGTATCTGCCATTAGTCTACAGGTCTGAAACCAGGGCTGGACTGGGAACTAAAAGCAGCCCTGGAAAAAATTCTATACCAACCCTATAATGCATTGCGCTAGCATAGTGTGCTGATATAGAGGTGGAAAAGACAACTTAATATTAACTTATTACTCCTAAGTGAAAGAAAGCACCCATAGGCTTCAAAATAAAAGTGCAGATTAATTTCAAGCAGGCGTATCTTTGCATATAATCAATGTTTTAGTCCAACTACCTTGACATATTAAGGAACATTTGGTAATGGGACTGAAATGGTGAATGTATGTAGGGCACAACTGTAAAAAATGACGTTATCTTGTTTATTTTGAAGTCCAATGAGTGCACTTTTCACTTTAAATATGGTATTGTGCTGGAATGTGCACCTACTACCAATATGTGCTCATTACATATATGTTACATATTAATGACATTTCTGTGTGTATTACGCATATATAAATGTACATTTAATATGTGTAAATATTATAGGAATAATTATATATGCATATAACTAATACACACATTAATATACATGTCTATATATATATATATATATATATATATTACTGTTAGAATCACATCAATTACAATGTCTATATGTACATTGTGTTAGCAAGATTGCTAGGATAATGGTATATATTGGAAGCAAAATCTATTTAGTAAGAGCTTTTTCTCTCACCTGTCAATTAGGTCTTCCGCATAAACTCCCATGTTGAAGAACTGAGTTACAGGGAGAGCAAGAGACACATGTGAAAATGCATCCCCCCAAACACACACAAACAAAATGCATCTTCTCTTCTGTTTCTCTTAACCCCCTTTTGAATTTCTTGCCGCTTTTTGTTTTTCTTGTTCCCTCTTGTGACTCCCCTTGTGTATCTTTTACTTCATTCCAGTCCCTGTGTGTCTCTTTTTACCATTTTCTAGCCCTCTGTATGTCTTTCTCCGCTTCAGAAGCCTCTCTGTGTGTCTCTTTCTACCTCCAGCCCCTCTGTCTCCCCCCAGTCCCTCTGTATGTTTCTTTCTCCCCCTCACTGCTCCTCTGTGTCTTTATCTACCCTCTCCTTCTCACTCTCTCTTTTTCCCCATTCACCTCTGTCTTTCTCTTCCCCTATTTTCTTTCTCCCCCTCATTCTGTGTCTCTATCTTCCCCTCTGTCTCTTTCTTCCCCCTTTCCCTGTGTCTCTCTCTCCCCACATCTCTCTTCCCCCTCTGTCTTTTTCTCCCCCTTTCCCTGTCGCTCTCTCTTCCCCCTGTCTCTTAACTTCCCCTCCCTCTGTGTCTCTCTTCCCCCTGTCTCTTTCTCCCCCTGTGTGTCTCTCTCTCCCCATCTGTCTCCCCCCCTCCCCATGTTTCTACTCCCCCTATGTCTATTTCTCCCTCCTTTGTCTCTCTTCCCCCTCTGTCTCTCTCTATTCTCCCACTGTCTTTTTCTTCCCCTGTGTCTCTCCATTCCTCCTCTGTCTCTTATTTCCTCCTCTGTCTCTTTCTCCCCCCTTCATTACCCCATGAGGCTGACCTTGCCTAGAGCCCTGGGAGACTGGCAATGACAGAAATGGGCTGTTCTTTCTCTGTCTCTCTATCATGCTCCCTTGCAGTTCCCACAATTCCCAGCACAGGCACATCATAGAGTAATCACTACTCTATGATATGCCTGTGCTGGGAATTGTGGATCTTCTTATTCTTCAGTCTTCTTATTCTGACAACTCACTGCTGTCAGTATTAGTGAGTGCCGCTGGACCGGTTAGACGGCCACCCGGCCCAGGGCACCACCATGAGTTCCATGAGATGTGGCCACAGGCCGCAAGTTAACTATGGAATGCGGCCAGCCCCCTCAGAGTGTGCCACCGGACTGGTCTACCCAGTGGCACCTACATGCGGCGTTACTGGAAGCGGCCGCATGGGCTCCCTCACTATAGGAGTACTGCGCAGCCCTCAGGTGCGCTGCCCACTGGGAAATTTCCCGGTATCCCAGTGGGCAAGTCTGAAACTGAAGATTGGTGGGTAAGAGGGAGGGAGGGGGGGGGGACTAAAAAAACTCCCCTAGGTAAGAGGTGTGCCCAGTAATGCAATCTGACTTAGTTTATAATAGGTTTAGAAATGTTTATTACATACTTTTGTCTTGCTTTATTTTGTTTAAATTTTGGTGTGAAAGTGTTTGCTTTCTGGTTTTGATATACTGACCATTTAAACTGCAGCGGCTTGTGTACATAAAATAGAAACTTACATATTATTTTTTTCTTAAATCATTTATTATATAATACATGATTTAATTAATACCTGTCATTAAAATTAAGAAGATTACTGCTTGTCAATGTACTTTCAGTATTATACATGCATTCATACGTGTATATATAAAAACATATAAAACTTATATGTATTATTTCAGCTGCCCCTCGCTCGTCTTGTCCCCCTGGATGGTTTTTCTACAAAGCAAACTGTTATGGATATTTTCGATTCCGACTGACCTGGTCTGAAGCAGAGGTAAGATATTTTGAATACAGAAGAAGGAAAAAAGGGGAGGAAAGGCTAAATAAAAACCAAATATAAATCTTACTCATAAATCGAATGATAAGGGTAATTTAGGTAAAATACCACATGACTGGATTTATTATATTGCATTTAATCAGAGATGATAAAGGGTATATGTAATATTTAAAATTGATATGCTACTTTTTTGAATAGTGTTTGAACGCAGGGCTAAATTTTGTGTGTTTGTGTTTTTGTATTAAAAATCCATGTTACAGTGCTGCCGCCCACCCAATCTTAACCCTATTAAAGGTTAATAAATGTGTAGGGGTTCAGAAAAATACCCATTTTTTTTCTCATCAGAGACTTTGCCTTTTAGCTGAAAACTGCAAGGTAATTTGCTAGTGTTGGATTCACCTAAGTGGTTTGCCTTGATGTGGCAGGTGAGCTTAAAATTTAATGGCCACTGGCGTGAAACTAAAAAACCTACAATTATTTAAATGTGCTTAGAGATTTTGGGATGTTCAGGTAACATTCTTTTGTATTTGTTCTATGTTACTTTTCTGATTCTAGCATTATAAAATTGTCCATCAAGTCCCGAGGATTACCTTTCTGTTTTTAAAAACATTTTTTTTTAAAGTTTTTATTAAGTTTATGTAGGCACTATTTTCCTATTACAATCCTGTTACTTGGGCTATGTTTTGTTAAACTTTAAAGGGTATCTACCATAACAAATATATCTTGATCTTAAATGACAGAGAATCAAGTTTTATCTATGCATAGTGACTAGTAGAATTTCTACAAAATATCTATTTTGCTAACATCAGAGATTGAAAAATAGCCCTTTAACACTCCCCTCAGTCAATTTAGTCTGTGCTGATTGGCTCAAAGATAAGAAGGATGTACTTTGCAGGTCTGTTATCAGAGAAATCCTTCTCTGGGTGTCCCTCTTGCTTTCCATCAGCCTAAGGGAAAGCAATGCCTGCAAGAGGAAGGAGGAGGGGATGGCTGCTGTGTGAGAGCAGCACTAGCAGCATGGAGAGAAAGAGACAGACTGATTTATTGCAGTTTTACGGCTTTGGACAGAAAATCTGAGAATAGAGAGAATAAAATACGTTTTGTTTACATAGCATAAAGCCAACATGAAGTGTTGGGGACTTTTGACCTGTTATGGGAAGCAATTCTGAAGAAATACTTATTTGTATAACATTATTAGTATTTGTATTATTGGCAATATTGTAAAGGGGGAAACTTAACAATTTAGAAATCATTACAGGAACAATAGGTCAATGAGAAATAAAAAAATAAAAAATAAATCACTTTTGCCAATTCTTGCAAAAACCACAACCAAGTCTCAATTAGTACAGTCTTGTAGAGAAGGCTCATAATATTAGAGCTTAATAATGAAACTTTCTTTCTCTTTCAGTTTGAGTGTGCTAGTTATGGACATGGTGCCCATTTGGCCTCAGTTATGGATGAGTCAGAGGCTTCAATCATCGGAAGTCATGTTTCTGCTTATTCACCCAATGTAGATGTTTGGATCGGACTCCATGATCCTGAGCAGGTAAGAGAGTGACACTCACAAAGCCGGCTGCAGAAACTAATAGTCTCCTTACCACATCCCATCATCCACAGTTCCATAATTTGCTCATCTCCCACAATAATAATAATCCTCTTTTAAGAATAAGATTTCTTTTTTTTGCTTTCTGAAACTAAAATAACATATTTTGACCACACAATTCATTGCATCCAAAGTGGTATTAATCAAACCTATTGCATTAAAATTTGGATTACATGAAATTTACACAGAGCTGAAAAAAGGTATACAGAACATAATAAACACGCGTCTCTCGGCATCATTATGGGGTCCTAGTAGTGTGACTATAGACTGTTAACAAATCAGCTTTAAGTAAAGCTTATAGATAAAACATGTAGGTGCTGTTTAAGTGTGATTGATAGAAAGTATTTCAGCAAACAATTAAAAAAGGGGGTGTTGTGACCCAAAATGAGTGCTAAAAAAAATGATCCTGCTCTTCGGAATCGATAATTTAGAACCACTACATAGACTGTGCTTGTGCTTTTTGCTTCTTTATCTAGTACAATGTAAAAGAGTATACTTCTGTTACCCTGGTTTATGTGTTTTGTATAAAGGACCACTATAGTGCCAGGAAAACATACTCGTTTTCCTGGCACTATAGTGCCCTGAGGGTGCCCCCACCCTCAGGGTCCACCTCCCGCCCGGCTCTGAAAAGGGGAAAAGGGGTAAAACTTACCTTTTTCCAGTGGTGGGCGGGGAGCTCTCTGCCTCCGATCCTCCTCCGTTCCTCCCCGTCGGCTGAATGCGCACGAGCTGCGTGCGCATTCAGCCGGTCGCATAGGAAAGCATTATCAATGCTTTCCTATGGACGCTTGCGTGCTCTCACTGTGATTTTCACAGTGAGAATCACGCAAGCTCCTCTAGCGGCTGTCAATGAGACAGCCACTAGAGGATTTGGGGGAAGGCTTAACCCATTTATAAACATAGCAGTTTCTCTGAAACTGCTATGTTTATAAAAAAAAAAGGGTTAACCCTAGCTGGACCTGGCACCCAGACCACTTCATTAAGCCGAGAGTGGTCCTTTAATTTAAAAAGAGTATAACCCTGGGAATGAGTATGAATAGTGTCACATTCAATGCTAACCAACCTCTGACCTACATGTATGGTATTTACTTACTTTTCCAGTCACCTTCTCTCATTTAGCCCTCCTGTCCATGCTCTCTCTCACTCACAGCATAATTCATCGTATGCCATTCTGTCAAGTTTGACAATAGGCAGATAAGGCAGGTGCTTACAAGCATAGCCAGATTCCCCAAAAGGCCTTGAAGGTCACCATTGGGGCAACATGGCTGTTGGGGAAATCAAGTATCTCCATAACCAACCAGTCCCCCTTGATATTCTACCACACCTCCCAAATAATGGACTACACAACACAAACACTAGAGCTACAGCACCTGTCTCCCCACCCCCTCCACACCACCACCAATAAACACACAACAATCTCTATAAACCCCATACACACACTGTAGCCTCTATCCACCACACACAGCAGCTCTTCACCGTCACACACACCCTGCAGCCCCAATATTCTTTCCAAACATGTACAAACGTGGACATGCAAGCCTGGAGCAAAATGTTAAAAGGGGCTCAATTACAGCAGCTTTTTTCAATTATTACACAATTATCATTATTCTCAACCAGGCTATGCAGTCCACAGGAAACCTGCCCACCAAACCAAGGTCCTCTATAACCCTTACTACGCCTAAATCTTAACCACAAGCGAAAACAATGACAGTATTTTTAAGTCAACATCTAAACTTCGACAAAACAAGTCCTGTAGAAACTTTGTCTGTGGTGCATATGTAACATGCTTACAAACCGGACTTAAATCACATATGTCACAAACCTTCTACAGAGTTATTCACTAAAGTGAATATTCAAGATGTATTCAAAGTCAATTTTAAATTTAAGGTGAAAATAGCTAAACTGGGGGAATTGTCTATCAGCTGTGAAAGTTGGGGTACTTCATTGTCAGCTGTAAACTTTCAGCTCCTTTGCCTTTAATTTTTAACTTTTAATTTTTACTTTAGTTAATATTCCTGATAGTTTCTCAAAGCAGCTTTAATGTTTCATTAGTAATTTAAGTTTTTAGGATCCCCTCAAATTGGCAGGCTGTATTTAAACCATTTCCATCAGTTGCTCTGCATTGACAGTGGATCTTAAAGACTAAGCAGAAGACCAGGAGATGCAGATCATATTGATTAAAGGAAAATCAGTCTCTTTTAATATTGAGTGTGTTTTGAATGGCTTTAGTCTGGGCCGGTTTTGACAAAACTCTGAATCCCCAACTGCTTACAGATACCCGTCTACAAGTGCTCGTCATGCACACAAATTAGAATTTTCATTTTTAAGTACACTTTTTTTATGCATTTTCTTTTTTTCTATATAGTAACTCATTTCCTTTTAATAATTTTCATAAAGAGATGAATAAAGAAATGTACTTCCTGAATCACTTATGTGTCCTTCAAATCAAGGACCAATCAACAAAGAACATAATATATTGATTAATGGAATTAAGATGTAAACCTGGTCTTGGCTATAGCCCACTGCCACTTATATATCATGAGCGGACTCTGACAGCTACATTATTCTTTACTTCTTTTTTTTTTTTTCTCCTTAGAACCGGCGTTGGAAGTGGAATGATGGCTCTATGTACAACTTTAGGGCTTGGCAAAATGGAGAACCCAATAACCAAGGGAACGTGGAGTATTGTGTAGAGTTGCTTATAGGATCCAGTGAGTATAAAGTACTTCAGATATACAATTCCCTGTGTATGTAGTCACTATCAGCTTAATAACAGAGAGGGGATATGATAACGTTATACAAATATATTCGGGGGCCAATACAAACCATTGTGTGGAAATCTATTCACAAACCGGACTTTACATAGGACACGAGGCCATGCGTTTAGACTTGGAGAAAGAAGATTTCGTCTAAGGCAAAGGAAAGGTTTTTTTACTGTAAGAACAATCAGGATGTGGAATTCTCTGCCTGAAGAAGTGGTTTCATCAGAGTCCATACAGACGTTCAAACGGCTACTAGATGCATACTTGCAATAACAGAATATTCAAGGATATAATCTTTCAATGTAGGGTAATAACTGCTTGATCCAAGGATAAATCTGACTGCCATTCTGGGGTCAAGAAGGAATTTTTTTCCTAGCTTGTTGCAAAATTGTGCTTCAAACTGTTTTTTTTGCCTTCTTTTGGATCAACAGCAAAAAACAAATGTGAGGAAGGCTGAACTTGATGGACGCAAGTCTCTTTTCAGCTATGTAACTATGTAACTATGTGCATAGTGAAAATTGTATCTAGCCAATTGCAAATATGGAAAGAGAGACTCGTTCATTTTATTGTAATTCTTTTTTTGTTCAGAGTTTCTAAAGTGGAATGATGCTCCATGCAAGATGGAAAACCACTTTGTGTGTAAATACAAACCGTAAGAGCTTCGTACATCCCAGGGAGACAGCAGACAGATGGGGCGAATATTTATCAATCCGAACTGTGGAATTCTGAATAAATCACTCTTACAGAATAATTGGTTTTCATTGATCAGTATGGTAACTGGGGTTGGGGTTGGATTGTAAATATGTGTGGGTGAATTGATGTGTGGGTGTCTTCATAACAATGTATTATATTATTCACAAACATTCATACTCAGGGAGAAAAAAAAACTAGAAAAAGTGTGTGTGGGTGGTTTTCCTATGTCATTGTTTGTCAAAAGGATCCCATTGTCATCATTCAGTAGACAATAAACATTTATGATTACAGTGTATGACAAGTATATCACGCTTTGAGTGCACAGAAAGTAAAATTTTCGTGTGATGAATCATATGATCTCCCAGCAGTAAGTGGGAAGGAACGTCAGCCCCGGAGAGGGTCAGTAAGAAGCTGGGCCAGATCACGCATGGACTGGCAGATCCGCTGCCCAAAACGGTGAGAATTCTGGGAAGGGGAAAAAAAAAAAGTCAGACACATCTTATACAATGATAATGCCCAACAAACAAAAAATCTGTACACATGAACCTGAATAACGGTATTCTAAGGATAATGTGCAAAAAGAAAATTTTAAAGGCACATGCGCTGTCAATACCGATAGGGCAATACTTGGTCTGCAAATGGAGGCCACCATATGGTGGGATTGGAGATGCATCACAAGTGAGGGTGATGTGGGGATTCCATTCCTGCTGTAGACTGCCATGGCCCTATGTTCAGTTTGTTAATTTTATAAAGGGGCTTACAAATGAAGAGAGATATGTTCACCGTGTCCAATGTAGAAATAATGTCAAATTCTAAAAGTTAAGTAGTTTATATCTGCCATTAGATTCCTAATGTTTATACATGGTAGTTAAATACAGGAGATGGTAAATAAACATGCATAATTGTTGCATGTGCAACATGGAGAAGGACCATTCAGAATTCTAAATTTGGCTGGGCAGTCCATAAGTAACCCATGACCTGCCATACCAGGTATTTTTTTTTCTGATGATTTTGGCTTCATAGTACAAAAACAGCTCATGTTAAAATGCTCTCATTCTGCAGTAGGCACGAATCCCTGGGCATTTACTCCTATATTTGAGAAATTCAGTAATGCTCTGTATAGGGCCACTTCAGTTTGGTGTTATAGATTTCTACTTTTAATTGATATTTTCGACCTCACAAACATATATATGCTAAATATAAGTAAACACAATATTTATAGCTTGGGGAAATGACAGTTGTCCTTAAAGGGTTACTCCAGGCACCATAACAACTTCATCTGATTGAATCAGTTAACCTCAAAGTGTTTTCACCTCTATCAGGCACCCGATTGATCTGCCCACGAACATCCACCATTGAGGATTGAATCAAAAAGCTTTGGACCAGGGCGCTGCTGAGAGAGCTAGATGACACTTTCTACCTACGAGTAGCTCCCCATTCACAAAACATTTTAAGAAATGTATGTAAATTTCTCAAGCCATTTTTTTGAATGGAGACCTACTGTTAGGCTAAGAGCATTAGCTGATTGCTTTCAGCCTACCAGCGATGCCCCAGTCTAAGGCTTCCTGCTTCAAGACTTGCACTGTGGAGGATGTTTGTGGGCAGATCAGGCGCTGGATTCAACACTTTGGGGTTAAACTGTTTATCAGTAACAGTTTAACCCCCGTAACGTACGCTGGCGCCCGGGGACTTCATCGCTCCATAACAACTGAAGTTCAATGAAGTTGTTATGGTGCTCGGAGTGTTCTCTTAATAGCTTAGCATTAGGTAGATGTTTGTGTAATTTGCAGCATGCTATCCTTTCTCCAATATGGTGGCACAGCCTTTGTAGAGCAAAGCAACTGACTCCACCTGCTTCTCATCTGCTCCAGATCTCTCCAACTCCTGCAGCATATGAAATAACCTAGAAGCCAGGTCAAGAGCTAAAGTAACATGAGGATGACTAGAACACAAATCCCCTATCTGTGCAGCATTTCAGTCTTCTGAAGTCGATGAAGATGCTTTGCACATGAAGATCCAGAATCAATGAACACTGATACATGAGAAATTAACTTTGATTAGAACAAAATAATTTGTGGTGCAATATTTTATAGGGTATACCCGATTATTAAAGGGAACATATCCTCTAAAATGCGTTTTGTGTTTTGTTCTTGTACCTGAATGAATACTACAGACCCATAAATACAAACTACATATTTGATTTTATTTTAACCCCTTAAGGACACATGACATGTGTGACGTCATGATTCCCTTTTAGTCCAGAAGTTTGGTCCTTAACGGGTTACAAATGTTTCTAGATTTTTATTTTGACTATTCAATGGATTCCCTTAAAGAGACTGATTTGGAGCAGCAACCTTAGCTATTGACTATGTTTTAGTATGATTCTTAGCAAGGTAATTTGCTACACCTCTATCCCACAAGCATCACCCTCACCACCCTCAGCATCACCCCACCTCACCTCTCCCCCTCAGCATCACCCCTCCTCACTATCACCTCCCCTCACCCCCCTCAGCATCACCCCCTCACTATTTCCTCAGCATTACCCCCCTCCCTCAGCATCACCCCCTCACTATCACCCCCTCACCATCCTCAGCATCACCCCCACACCACCCTCAGCATTACCTCCCTCACCATCACCCCTTCCTATCACCCCCGACCACCCTCACCTATCACCCCCGACCACCATCACCTATCACCCCGACCACCCTCAGGATTACCCCCCCACTCCCTCCCTTAGCATCACCCCACCTCACCACCCACAGCATTACCCCATCACCCCCTCCCTCAGCAGCATTACCCTCCCCATCACCATCACCCCCTCTATCAGCATTATGCCCACTCACCATCACACCCCCTCTCACCATCACCCGCCTCTCCCACTCACCATCAACCGCCTCTCCCTCTCACCATCACCCCCCTCTTCAAGCAGCTACCCCATACACATAGGGTACCAGACAAAAATGCAAACATGCTCACAGAGACATACATTCACATACACACACACAGATACTCTCTGTCAGACACACTCTCAGGCACATACACAGGTAAACTGTGCATGTATTGCAACTCTATTTTTTTTCCACTTTTTTATTAGTGGGGCCTCATGGTGAGTTTCGCCTAAGGCCTCATAAAGTCTAGAGCTGCCTCTGCAGAAGGAGCCTCAGAAGAAAAAGAAGACTGTGTCAAATGAAGGAGAAGAAATGAGATTGGAGCACTTTATTCTGGGCACCACATCATAAGGCTTTGGTACCTGGGCCTGGCAGGGAAACCTTTTACCTTCTCATCTCCCCAGGTAAAAAAAAAATATCAGTCTTAATGTGTTCACTTTAATTTACTGAGTGTCAGGAAACACAGAGGGCCGCTGGGTAGGGGTGCCGCTGATTGGCTAAAGGGTCAGCTGGCACTCAAAGCCAATCAGTAGCTCCCCATTCATGAAAACGTAAAACATTTTTATGAATCGGGAACTAGCGATTGGCTTAGAGCGTCAGCTGACCACTCTAGCCAATCAGCGGCACCCATGCCTGGCGTCAATCTGCACTTCCTGACACTCGGTTTAAGAAGCTGAATACCACTGAGCGACCTGGAGATCTGGAGCTGGAGGAAGCCTTTGGGGGTAAACCATTTGAGAGTGGTTTCACCCCTTAAAGGAAAGAAAGTGCCCAGGGGCCTCCTTGCATCATAGCATTTACATTTAGTTGAAGTTGTTACGGTGACCAGAATGTTCCTTTAATTTGATTAAAGGAACACTATAGTGTCAGGAATACAAACATATATTCCTGACACCATAGTTGTGAAAACGCTATTCACCCTGGCTTTATGTGAAAATGACTATGCTCCTTCCCTTTCATGACACTGTCAAAAAGGGGCCAAGCATGGATGTCATTACAATTATGCCCACCCCTGGAAAAATTCCTGTGGACTCCCATGCCGGTGCTACCTACTTGGAGATATCCACAGGAGAGAGACACAAGCCCCCTCGAGCTATGAGTCGGCTTGACATCTGCAGGGTCTCACTGGCCTCCTGGAAGTACATGCTGACCAACAGGTGAAGGAGCCACCATTCAATCTGGTTTGCGCCCTATCTCCCCCGATTGGCCGGCACGAGTTAAAGGGCTTAGACACAAACTCCTCCCCTCCCCGAGTGCTGATTGGTCACGCATGTTTAAAGCGTGAAATTTTGTATCCACTGGCCTAAACCAAGTGATTCTATGGAGCTATTTTCGGGTATGTACAGAGCCTCAAGCCCAGACTTTTGTATGACAATTTCACGTGCTCTGTACATCTGATAGCTCTGCAATTTGCAGGGATCATAGCTGGAACCAGGAGCTATTTGGGGATGTATGACATGTGCAGGTGCATTACTGTATTGTGTGTATTTTTGTGAATTTGGTGTGTTTGGCTTCCTGTGTCCAGGAGCCACTATTATCTCTTAGACACAGTGACCCCTGGCTGGACTTATGTTTTCATGTTACTTTGAATGGAGACCCCCTGTTGGGGGTCTGTGCATAAATACAGTGTATCTTGCCTGAAATAAACCGTTCTTTTTCACCCTTCACTAAGTCTCGACTGGTACCACAATTGCCCTTCTGCAAGTGACTATAATCACTGGCTCGCAGCTATAATTACTCTACGGCTGGGTACAACTAGGAAGGGGGAAACCACAGGTGGTAGTAACCCATCCTCAGGAGGGTATACTGCCACACTGGGCCTTTCTAAAACATTTGAGGTTTAAACTTCTCCATTCTATTGTTGGGTGTGACTAGAGCATGGGCGTCCGCAGGGGGGGCAAGGAGGGGCACATGCAGCCAGAGACTGCCTACAGATCAGGTAAGTGAGGGATGGGGGGGAGGGTTTGAGATAGCCTATAGATTAGGGGAGTGAGGCATGGGGGCAGCCTATAGAGTAGGGGAGTGAGGCATGGGGGCAGCCTATAGATTAGGGAGTGAGGCATGGGGGCAGCCTATAGATTAGGGGAGTGAGGCATGGGGGCAGCCTATAGATTAGGGAGTGAGGCATGTGGGGGGCAGCCTATAGATTAAGGGAGTGATGGGGGGCAGCCTATAGATTAGGGAGTGAGGGGGCAGCCTATAGATTAGGGGAATGAGAATGAGGCATGGGGGGGCAACCTATAGGTTAGGGGAGTGAGGCATGTGGGGGGCAACCTATAGATTAGGGGAGTGAGGCATGGGGGCAGCCCATAGAGTAGGGGAGTGAGGCATGGGGGGCAGCCTATAGATTAGGGGAGTGAGGCATGGGGGGCAGCCTATAGATTAGGGGAGTGAGGCATGGGGGGCAGCCTATAAATTAGGGGAGTGAGGCATGTGGGGTGCAGCCTATAGATTATGGGAGTGAGGCATGTGGGGGGAGGGCAGCCTATAGATTAGTTATAGCCCCCACATGCTAAGCACAGATAGAGGCTGCCCCCCCCCCCCCACATACAGAGTCAACCCCACATTTATTGCAATTGCAGCCCCCAACTGTTGGCCTGAGGGGGGGACACTATAACCCCCCCACCCCATTTTTTATTGTCCCCCTCCTTCATCATTGTATTTAAAGCTCAATCGTTCTTCACAGGGGGATGAGAGTGATCTGTCCATCTCCCCCATTCTTTAAATTGAAGCCCTCAAACGCAGCCCACACTAACTGTCCAGTCACTACTCTTATATTTATCTATACTCATGTATGTGTGTGCGTGTGTGTGTGCGCACACAGACACGGTGAATATGGGGATGGGGAAGCTATAAAACTTCCATTGTACTAATGTTTGAGTCATATCGACCCCAATATGCCATTTTAATGTGGCAGCTGGGTTACAAATGGTTTAGCAACTGACATAATAAGAGACTCCCTCAGTACGACCTCCAACACCTCCTCGCGAGACGTCACCTGGCCCTTGAACCAATGGTCCAATCCAATGCTCCTCACCAAGCATGCATCCAAATGCTTCTCATAGGAAATCATTGAATCCAATGTTTTTATATGAGCTGCATTTGGTCATGTGGCAAACCATATACTATTTTAACCCCAATTATCCCTGAAGGAGCAATACCACTACCCCTGGTTCAGTGCTCAACCGCCTCCATGCTAAACACCCGAAAGCACCTCTATCCTGGTAGGCATTCGGTTCCAGAGAGCCAAATGATCCCCAGTAGGACCTAGCACCAAAATACGTGGAACTCTGGCTCGGCCACATCCATGTCCTATTCCTGGTCAACTTACCCCTATGTTTTACCCAACTTCCCGACCTGCCAGGAGAGCACTATTTGGAGGGGAGGTACTATGGACTAAATGTATCGATCACTCTCTGAAAGCCAAGGGGCGCTCCCTTTTGTTTGTTTGTTTGTTTTTTGGGGTATTTTATGTTATGTCCTATGTATCTGGGAGATAATTAGCTTAAGCAAGGGCCAATTCAATTATCTTCCAGACACAGAGGAACGGGCTTACTCTGGGTTGAATAGGCACCCCATGCTGGGGGTCCATATATAAAAGACTGTGCTTTTCCTAATAAACAATTGTACTCCCAGAACTACGTGCTGTCTAGTTACTGGGAGAAAGGGTTATAATCACTGACCAACGCTTCTTTCAGCTATGAGGTGAATCCAGCGGAGATACCCAGTCAGGGTAGTGGAGCTCTGCTACAGGTTGCATGAACGAGTTTTACCCGGTTATTGTAGCGGAAGTGCCTCTAGTGGCTGTCACTAGAGGTGTGTTTAACCCTGCAATCCAAACATTGCAGTTTCTACAAAACTTGCATTGTTTTACATTTCAGGGCTAAAACTGCAGTTTTCACATGTGTATGCTTTCCTTTACAATGGTTCAAGATACACAGCTAATGCTACATCAACATCTATTATAATATTGTAAAACTTTCAGTCCTAAATGTGCAGAGTTGAATGCAGATTATAATTTGCACATCATCATTGGTCATGCTCTGCATACATAAAAATAGGCACCTTCAAAGAGATGTCCTTCTTGTCTTTAGACAGGTATTAATGATGGATATTATTATTATTGGTAGTTATATAGTGCCAACTAATTCCATTGCGCTTTACAATATTATGAAAGAGGGGAAAATTTACAATAAATGAAACAATTACACAGTGATACAGCAACAATAGGTAGATAGGGGTCCTGCTCAAATGAACTCACAGTCTAGAGATGAAAGCTGATATGAGCTAAAAGTTAGTGTTGAAGGAGAATAATAAGTCAATAGTTTTTGTGCCTGAGATCTACAGGATGTGTGGGCCAGAATTTGGGCTTTGTACTAATAAAGGACTATTAAAGGATATGGAAGTAGAGCATGGGAAGACTAAGTTGGGATCACTTACCAGTGTGCACTGAGAGCATGGAAGGAGAGGTAAGTATAAATACTTTAAGGCTAATTTTCACTCGTGCTTTTTGGAAGTTCTCAATTCATCTCTCCATTAGTCTAACTGTTCTGCTTTCCAATCCATACTATTACCATTTTGTTATCATTCTTCTCTCACTATTATTTACTCAACTCACCGTTTCTGGACTGGACATCTTGCTGGAAATATGAAGTGTGATGAGATTTTCTCCTGCAAAGATGTAAGAAACACCATAACCATCATCAGCTACCTAAAAAAAAGAGAGACAAAGTGATAAATGGCACACACAATGGCCCATATTGACAGATATTATGGTGTGATTGAAGCTAATGGGAGTTTTTCCATTTCATGCAAGTACAATCTTATTAAGAGGTTAGTGTCAAGGTTCACACATAGCTGAGGATTAAAACTGCAGCTCCACCATTTTGCAAAGGCCGAGAAGGATGGGTAAGGTTTGATTGAACTTAAAGTGTCTCAGTTACCTGAATGTTGGCATAATATACCATTTGGTGTCTGGTAGCTGTGGTGTTCAGGGGACAATGAGTTTTATTTACCTCAAGCTGTCCCCTGTGACCGAGGCTCTTCTTCAGCTCCTGGTGCTTTATCTGCCAGGAGCCTACATTACTGCTGTACTCTCATGCATGTGCAAAAATACAGCAGTGAGGTCCAAGTAGGATCCCAAAAAACTGCAAAAGCCTCTATAGATATTGTCTAGTGATGGACAAGACAATGCCTTGCTCCCACAGCTCTTATTAGCAATGGCTGAGGGAACTGACAAAACTAATGTGACAAACGTAGCTCTACATTTCAATTGTCAGTCGGAAAAAATGAATAAGGCAGTCCCTATTTTAGGAGGAATAGGTTGAAAACAATAAGAGAAGAATAGATTAGGTATATGGAAGAGAAACAGATTGCATTCAGGTAAGTATAGGTTGCTGCTTAAAAAGTAACACTCTAGGCATCAACACAACTTAAGTGCGTTTGATAGGTTTTTGGCTTCATATTCATATATTGTGGTTTTTTACCAGTTTTCCTCAACACTTTTTCTCCTACAGTACCTACACTGGCCTTCCGTTTGAAATATATTAATTGTTCCTTTCAATAATTATAATTGCAACAATGCATTTGAGTTTGTCTTCTCTTTGTTCCCCTTTTCTCATTCCCCAAAATTAAATATGTTGCTTACTGGTCCAAAGCCACCACCTGCGGAGACATGATCTGGAAACTTCTCCAAATCAAATAGCTTTAACTGCTGCTGTGGAGTCTGTGACGTAGAGAGACGCCAGGGTTCAGAAAGTACCTGCGAAACACAGAAAGAATGTTGAGAGCACACTTACACTAAACAGCAAGCAGCACAAAGGCTCACACAGTACTCAAGCTAAAAAAAACTGTGAGAATGCTTGCTTTAATAGAACGTGGGCTTTAATGAGTACCTGTCCTAAACACGCAGAGTACCTGAACACTACAAAATTCAGGCATTAAGAGTACATACACTAAAACAAAAACAGGCTTCAGTAGTACCTGCATTATACAGAAAGCAGGCTTTGAACATAACTGAACTAAACCCAAAGTTGGCACTTAAGTGTAACTGAGCTATACAGAAATCAGGTGTTAAGTGTACCCAAAATAAACAGAAAACAGGCTTACAGTGTACCTTGCTGAACAGAAAACAGGCTCATTGTGTGCACAAACTAAACAGCAAGCTTGCTGGAATTACAGAATTCAGTAATAGTTGAGCTTTTTAGGCAACCTGCATTAAACAACACCATGGTAGTCTAAGCCAGGTGTAGACAACCTTCAGCACTCCAGATGTTGTGGGTAACATCTCCTCCTTGCATTGCCAGCATTTTGGCTGTAAGACCATTAAAGGACATTTAGTCCACAACATCTGGAGTGCCACAAAATGTCTCTGACTGGTGTAACCATATTGAGAAGTCGGCATTAGCAGACATACAGCTCTAGTGCTGCCAACCATGAACACATCTTTTCAGGTCTTCTGTAACACCATTTTATCTTGCCATAGAAAGAGATGATGAATACTTACAAAATATTCACATAGTATTCTCAGTTAATGGGGTATAATTGTAGTGTCTCAAAAATCTTCAGACTACTATTCTTTTTAGACTACTCTTAACACACTAAAAATAGGAACATATTTTGAACAAGACACAAAGACACTTTTTTAAACAAATTAATAAATCTCTCTTAATATAAGAATTTTTACATAGCACCAACACTCTAATGAGAGCAGACTGAGATGAAAGATCTACATGATATCACATGTATTCAAAGAGGAGATTTATAATTCTCTTTTAGTGTGCAGGATGGACAAAAGGAAATGGCAGAGAGAAAAATAAGACCTTTTGCAACCATGATGCAATGTGTCTGGATGAATTATGAAGAAACAAAAGGCCAATCAGTGAGATCTTGCAGAATGGTTACATTCGTACACACTGTCCTCTATTTTCCCCTGTCGAAGCAGCTGGTAGCCAGAAAGGGCTTCTAAATGAAATGAGCTGAGGGAAGATCTGTTGTGTACTGTATAAAATTCACAATGACTCAAATTAAACTTCACCTGCTGAAGAAAGGGAGAATCGGTTCCTAGATACTTTGATACAATGTATAGACAGAAGAGATGGCGGTCAATCCCCTTTCCTGTCATAGCCAAACGGTACATGAGCTGATGATGGTCAGCGGCATTACGATACAGAACCAAACGATTTTTCTTCTATAAGACATATGGTAGAGAGAAAAGTGGGATAACGAAATATGACCTTTGTTGACAGATTAGCAATATGAATATACGCTTGAGTGTCATAAATAAAACAATTATCAAAAAAAAAAAAAAAACAACACCCAAAATAACACGTCCAAGTGTTATGAACTCACAGTTTCGTTAGGATCCACCATAGCTTTCACAAAGTCACAGGACTGCTTGGTACATGCTCTCACAGTCTCTGTACGGCCTTCACGGAACAAACGTGTCATGGATGCCTCATACGTGAGGCAGAAGTGACCCTTTTCCTGTATGGGCAGAGCAGGAGACATGCTGAGTTGTAGAATGGAAGATTGGAAGGTAATATTATGAATTATTATTTCAGAGACAAAGTACTGGATGCTCAGAATAGTTAAGGGAATTTGAAACAAACTGCAGATGCACATTTTTGCATCTGAGCTTGAATTAATAATGATAGTATTATGATGAAGTGATACAATTACTGGAGAAAGAGAAATACTCACATATTGATTAAAATATGCAAATTTTTTAATGTAATAATTGTACTTAGTCATGGCAATGAACAAACACATCTGTATTAGTTAGTTACGTTACCCTGTAATGAGCCAGCTGAAGTGCTATCTGGAAGAAAGCATCAGGACTACTCCGGCATTTTTTGATCAGACCTTTTCCAAAGTCTGTGAAACGGACGCAGACAAAATCCACGTCATCCGCTAACGTCTTGGCTGTCAGGTAAGACTGTTCAATGACTTCACGGCACTGGAGGATAGGATACTTATATTATTGAACAATTTACACCTAGAAACATAGTGAGGAGCACACCCACCATAAAATATATTGACAGCAATCATTCAACCAAAAATATGTAATTGAAATACAGTGAATATTTAGAATGAATGCACAAATATAATAGTGCTAAAGTAAACAAAAGAATGGACTGTTAGAAAAAAAGCGTGTCTTACAAGCTAAACACAAAAACAAGTAAAACAAAAGTATATGGGAAAAATTGTGATAAACGTGATATTTTAATGAGATTGCACGATATTTTGTCCACACTAGGCCAGAATAATGCTTACAAAAACAGCTCTATGCATTGGAAAATAGTAGTAAATTACAGAAAACATAGGAAATATTGAGACTCCCATGAACTCTGCTTTTGTTGAGCTGAGAGCCTTTTTGAGACCAACCGCACTATTTTCCTTTTACCTTGTTTACTGGTGGAGTATAAAACGTTGTTCTCCTATTACATTTGCCTGAGATCTTTCCATACAGATCGTAACTTAGTAGGGGGATCCTCTGGGGCAGTGCATCATTATATGGAAGCTTGGCCTGACTGGGTTATTTAAAACCGTCACCAGGCATTTGTTTCAACAATGTTCACATATACCTGCCAATAGTGAAATGCACCCAGCAAACTATTTACAAGAGTCTAGTTATTGCTTTTGTGTAGTTTTCTTCCTTCTACACCACTATTTATAGTCCTGTTTACTAATGCAATGCCTACATTAAGGATTTTTCTAAACTTTGTCAAAAACAGCAGTGATGTAAGAAAGCATTTTTTTCCGGGTTGCAAACTCTTATTAGTGTAGAGTTGCATTTTGATCAGCAAATAATCAGTTCAAAATAATTATAAATAGCACAGAATGCTAATTATTATTTTATTATTTATATAGCACCATCAGATTCCGTAGCGCTGTACAATGGGTGGACTACCAGACACGTAATTGTCACCAGACAACTGGACGTACAGGAACAGAGTGGGTGGAGGGCCCTGCTCAATGAGCTTACATTCATTCTAATAACTATGACATGAGAAGCATGTGATTAATTGGCATTACCCTAAAATCTAAAATATATAAAGTATGGTCAATTGTGTGCGGCTCACCAAAGAAAGCCATAGAATTTTTTTTATCAATTTGTACAGATCTTTGTAGCATAAAATAGAACAGACATAAATTAACCATTAAATAGTCCTGCATCTCCATTTTAGACATGCTCTCTGTAGTATTTAATAAGTATCATTGCAGAAAACAAATAGGCTCACTCGTCTTTCTAGTAATGCTGGTCAAGAGAGCCCCTTAACATAATCACATGTTAATTTATTTTAAACACATTGTCATTACTTTCTCAAGACATACCATTGGTGGAATATCCCACAGTAGTCTGTATGGAGGGGGGAGGTCCAAGCCAGGATCACCATGGCAATCCCCATTCTCAGTGTATCCCAGCTCAAAACAGTCAGTGGCCAACATGAACTGAGGGAAAAAAAGGAAGTGATGATCATTACCTCTTGATGTATAACATCCCTCATTCACAATCTCAGAGACCATGGTAGCTGAAGACAGAAGTTACAGGGACAAGCCTTCTTGGAGATTACCTCCAATTTTAGACCAAAATGAGAGAAAGAGTATTGACAGTCTGAAAATCCCTCACTTTTTTTGCTAAAAATCAAGAAGTTGTTGAGAACTTGTGTCTAGAGGATTATCAGCTACACCTCATTGACAAGGCTCAAAGAAGGCAGAAACGATCATCTTGGGTAACTTTATCTCTTGTGCAGAGTGATCGTGCTGGCATTTCGGTTCTGGATTGCCCTTATGGGTGGGACCAGTCTGATATGCTTCAAATTATGATCTCTCTGTAATGGCACAAGTGAGCAAAAACTATTTTGTGACCTGAGTGGGGATTTACCGAAGGGCAAGCTACGGAGTTTCTCTAAGCTTTTGTCCATTCTCAGTGTTCTCATATCTTTTGTTGTAGTTGTTGTGAATTATCAACCATCTGTGGCCCTATCATTCTGTCAAATTATCTACAAATCCCTGCCCTGCAGAGATTAGTGTGATATGCTCAACATTCATGACGTGTTTATTTAATGATAAAACATAATGTAATAGGCTATCTAGTTTCTGTTACCTTTTCAAACAGTTTCACTCATACATTCTATTGAATAAGGTCCACTGCAGCTACATGCGCTGTTTGGTACATACTGCTACGCAATATATGGCAATTTGGGGAAGGACTGCCTTTTTGTGTTTGCGATGAATTTAAAACTGGCAATGAGTTCATAATGAATGTTTATGTCAAAATGATTCGAATGATTGCTGAAACTGTCTTCTGGATTGATAGTCATTAAAAAATATTAAATGCATGGCATTGGTTACATGGTATTGGTTACACATTATCACAGATTAAAAGATTGATATGCATGCAAATGTTTCTGTTAGCCATCTTTCATTGATTGGAAATGGTTTAAATGTCTAAAATGTCTAAAAGAGTGGATCGTGGATTGAGAAAGGCATTCCATCAAATGTTCATTATAGCTCCTTACAGACTGATAGACTAGTGTGACATTTAATGTCCTTCTTAGCAATCACATCTGAAGCTTTTAATTACACGTCACCTTATGTTTATTATGATTGAAAGAATTTATCATCTTTCCAAATAGCAGTGTCAGACATACATTCTGGCAATCATTTTAATTATTTAAACTTGTTGTGATTCTACATCAGTCTTCAAGTAAAGATTTGAAGATGTGTCATGATAAGACAGTTAATATAAGAAATAAACCAGTCCCTCAGGGATCAAAACCTAAATGGGATTTACAGGTGATACTCAAAAAATTTAAACATCATGCAAAAGTTCATTTATTTCAGTAATGCAACGAAAAAGGGGAAACTAATATATGAGATAGACGCATTACATGCAAAGCAAGATAGTTCAAGCCGTGATTTGTCATAAGTGCAATGATTATGGCTTACAGCTCATGAAAACCCCAAATCCATCATCTCAGTAAATTAGAATATTTTGAAAAGGTTCAATAACCTAGGCTCACAGTGTCCCACTCTAATCAGCTAAGTAACCCATAACACCTGTAAAGGGTTTCTGAGCCTTTAAATGGTGTCTCAGTAAGGTGCAGTAGGAATTATAGTCATGGGGAAGACTGCTGACCTGACAGTTGTGCAGAAAACCATCACTGACACCCTCAGGGCTGGCCTTAGGGGTGTGTGAGCTGTGCGGCCGCACAGGGCGCCATGGAGCAGGGGGCGCTCTGCGGCCGCACAGCTCACACGGCCGGGATTTAAAAAAAATAATTGTGGCAGGACGGAGCTTCATGTGTGGCGGGGCGGAGCAAAACGGGTGGCGGGGCGGAGCTAAAGGTGCCGGATTACTGCTACAGGGGAAGCAGGAAGGAGTCCCTGCTTCCCCAACAAACAGTCTGCAGGAGCTGCACTGCCTCCACAATGAACAGAGGTAACTATGTGTGATTGTCAGTGTGCGTGTGACTGTCTGCCCATGTGTGTGTCTGTGTGTGTGTGACTGTCTGCCTGTGTGTGTGTGTGTGTGTGTGTGTGTGTGTGTATGACTGTCTGCCTGTGTGTGTGTGTGTGTGTGTCTGTCTGTCTGTGTGTGTGTGTGTGTATGACTGTCTGCATGTGTGTGTGTGTGTGTGTGTGTGTGTGAGACTGTCTGCCTTTCTGCCTGTGTGTGTGTGTGTGTGTATGACTGTCTGCCTCTGTGTGTGTGTGTGTGTATGTGTGTCTGTCTGTGTGTGTGTGTGTGTGTGTATGAGTGTCTGCCTGTGTGTGTCTGTGTGTGTGTATGACTGTCTGCCTGTGTGTGTATGTATGTGTGTGTGACTGACTGCCTGTGTGTCTGTGTGTGTGTGAATGTCTGCCTGTGTGTGTGACAGTCTGTCTGTCTGTGTGTGTGTGTGTATGAGTGTCTGCCTGTGTGTGTGTGTCTGTGTGTGTGTGTGTCTGAGTGTGTGACTGTCTGCCTGTGTGTGTCTGTGTATGTGTGTGTGACTGACTGCCTGTGTGTCTGTGTGTATATGACTGTCTGCCTGTGTTTGTGTGTCTGTGTGACTGTGTGTATGTGTGACTGTCTTCCTGTGTGTGTATGGCCGTCTGCCTCTGTGTGTGGGGCAGTCTGTGTGTGTGGGGCTGTCTGCCTGTGTAGGTGTGTGTGTGGCTGCCTGTGTGTGTGGCTGTCTGCCAGTGTGCATGTAAGTATGTGTGTGTTAGACTGTATGTGTGGCTGTGTGTGTGTGTAAAACTGTATGTGTGGCTGTGTGTGTGTGGCTGTCTGCCTGTGTGTGTGTGTGGCTGTCTGCCTGTAATTGTGTGTGAGTGGGTTTATCTACCTGTAACGGTGTATGTGTGTTACTGCCTGCGACTATGTGCATGTGGGGGATTTGACAGTGTATATGTATAACTGTGTGCATCTGACTGTGGGACTGTGTGCACATAACTCTGCAAAAATATACACCTGCATTCACACACAGGCCTAAATGCATGTTTTTATCTGAATTAAATAACCATAACACACAGCCAATAAACCCAGCACAAATATCACATACAACCAATACATGCATATCACACACTGTTAATACACCCATTACAAATATCACACACAGCCAACACATAGCATACATATCACAGACAACACAAACATTACATAATACATGGATAGGGGGGGGGCGCTGTGAAGATTTTTCGCACAGGGCGCCTAAAGGCCTAAGGCCGGCCCTGGACACCCTCCATAAGGAGTGAAAGCCTCAAAAGGTAATTGCGAAGGAAGTTGGAGGTGGTCCAAAGTCCTCTTTTCTGATGAGAGCAACTTTTGCATCTCATTTGGAAACCAAGGACCCAGAGTCTGGATGAAGAATGGAGAGGCACACAATGCAAGATGCTTGAAGTCCAGTGTAAAGTTTCCACAGTCTGTGTTGATTTGGGGAGCCATGTCATCTACTGGTGTTGGTCCACTGTGCTTCATTAAGTCCAGGGTAAACACAGCTGTCTACCAGGAGATTTTGGAGCACTTCATGCTTCCTTCCACAGACAAGTTTTATGGGGATGCTGACTTCAATTTCCAGCAGGACTTGGCACCTGCCCACACTGCCAAAAGCACCAGAGCCTGGTTCAATGACCGTGGGATTACTGTGCTTGATTGGCCAGCAAACTCACCTGACCTGAACCCCATAGAGAATCTATGGGGCATTGCCAAGAGAAAGATGAGAGACCTCATGAGAGACCTGAACAATGCAGAAGAGCTGAAGGCCGCTATTGAAGCATCCTGGTCTTCCATAACACCTCAGCAGTGCCACAGGCTGATAGCTTCCATGCCACGCCGCATTGAGGCTGTAATTGCTGCAAAAGGGGCCCAAACCAAGTACTGAGTCCATATGCATGCTTATACTTTTCAGAGGTCCGATATTGTTCTATGTACACTCCTTGTTTTATTTTGATTGCATGTAATATTCTAATTTACTGAGATTGTGGATTTGGGGTTTTCATGAGTTGTAAGCCATAATCATCGCACTTATGACAAATCACGGCTTGAACTATCTTGCTTTGCATGTAATACATCTATCTCATATATTAGTTTCCCCTTTTACATTGCATTACTGAAATAAATGAACTTTTGCACGATATTCTAGTTTTTTTGAGTATCACCTGTATGTGATATTTTTCTGTGTGTGTCAATTAGTTGAAACATACGTATTGTATTCATCAGGTCCCAAGGAACGTGCTATATATGTCTGAAGCTATATACATGTGTGTTTCTCCAAGGATGAATGAACTCCAAAATATCTGCAGAACTCAAGATCCATGAAGTTCACTCATGCAGTTTTCACTGGGGATTGGCAATATAATCTCCACAATAGTTATATAGAATGGGTTAATGCCCACACCCAATGTTTGCAGTATCCATGTCAGTATCTTAGTTTAGGCATATTTTCATCAAGAAGGGTTTTTTTTGTTGCTTTTTTTTAGTAATCTACCTCCCATAGATGTCCAACGACAGGTGCATCAGCCCAGGAATGCTCAGCATTCAGACCCAATTTCCCATTTCTGTACACAACCAAAGTGAAGGACTTATCAAACCACCTGGAACAAGAACAAAGACACAAGATGAATAAATTAAGTGCATGAGCATGCACTAATATGAATATAGTAAAACATGGATATATAACGTTATAAAAGTAGGGAACATAAAATGAACAGTCAGGAGTAAACAAGCAAGAAACAGATAAAAGAAATGGGGACTGTGATAAATTTGATAAATGTTGATAAATACATTAAGAAACTCTAAAAGATTACACTTCAGTTAATAGATATGTGAAGGGCATGCATTCAGCTCTCTCATTTTGTAGAGGCATCATAAGATCAGCCATTTTATTATATTTCTTCACATCTGCCTCGCAGTTGAAAACAAAGGACTTTGTCATTCTCCCAAATGTTAATTTGTCCATTGACCTCCATTTGGACTTTTAATACATTTATTTTATGTTACGTGTAGGTTCCCAGCCCCCCTGTCAGTAAAGTAAAAGGTAATTTTACTCATGTTATTTCCAGGTCTCCATGCAGCTGGCCCCACACTTGCTCCGCATCCATGGCTGTGATCATCAAACTTGATAATCTCAGCCAATCCAATTTCCCACAGAGAAGCATTGGTAGGCTACTGCGCTTGCAAAATGCCACTCTGCACCAATCAGCACCTCATAGAGATGAATTGAATCAGTGCATCTCTGTGAGAAATATTTAGTTTCTCCATGCAGAACGTGGACTGCCACTCGAGGTGTCCCTAGGCAACTGTGTACCTTTTCTCTGAAAAGGCAGTGTTTACATTACAAAAATATTTACGGGGACTGACTATACTCACCAGAAAACTACATTAAGATGTAATTATTCTGGTGACTATAGTGTCCATTTAAACATCCACTCAACATTGGGAATATTAAATACTTTTAAAGTTTTAAAATTAAACTAGTAACACAGTACACATAATCTTTTAGATCAGGTGTTTATGGGATACCTATAGCATTCTCATTGAATGCAATTGGAGAACCAGCACTGTCTGAAGTATTGCAGCATTACATGGCTGAAAATGACCTGTCTGGTGGTTTGCTCTCGACAAGAGAATGTAAGGTTTCACCACCTTGCTCCAAAGGTTCCACACTCACTGCCATGCATAATGTATAAATGAGGTAGTTCATAAGTAGTGCATCCTTATTTGTTCAAAAATCATAATATGACATATAAATAGCAGGTACACCTCATAAACAACAGGGCATCCAAAAATATCAATATAATAAGAAAATAGTGTCCAAACCAAAAAATTAACACCAATGCAAAAAGTAAAATAGAAAGTCAGCCCTGTGCCTGCTGGAATGGGGAAGGTGGGGGCGGGGGACTTGAGAAGATAGATTATTTACCCAAGAGGGCTCTCTATGTGTTTCACGTCTATCCTGATGCTTTATCAACATCTACATGACTATTTCTTATTATATTGTTATTTTTGGTGCTCTGTTTACTATGAGGTGTGCCTGCTATTTATGTGTATGTCATGTTACTATTTTTGAGCAAACAAAGATGCAGTGCTTGTGAACTACCTTGTTTATATATTATGGATGTGATGACTTGTTGGGACCTTTTTCCCCCCCCCATTGTTATTAGGGTTGCAGAACTAAGGTTCTTTACTGGATTTTCCCTTGAGTTTGATGTAATTTGCAAGGGAATGCAAGGGCAGAGTATGTGTTCAATTTGTCTGTTTTGTTGCATGTTTATTAAGTATTACCTTCTACAAACAATATAAAAATCAGAGAGGTATAACCTGCAGCCTGGAGTGTCTCGTTAATAGTAGTTGCAGTTAAAGGCTTTATCTGAAAACACTTATATAAAATGTATACATGGCATTTTTTACAAGCATCAGTATTTTTTAATGTGCCTTTGCTATATATATTCCAACATAAACATTCAAACAAGGGGAGACCAATCATATTAACACATTACCTGTTGTAGCAATTTCCATGTAACAGGGATTTGGCATAGACACTTAGAGAATCCTTATCGTTGTCCCTATGTCCTCCTTCTTCTGTGTCCAGACTTACAAAGAAGATACCACGTTCCACACAACTCAGGGACACCCGGTTCATTCCATGAGAGAAGAAGTTAGTGCGTGCTTTGGCCCAAGATACCCTGTTAAGGAGATACAAATTAAGAAGACAAAGTTGTATAGTATTTGGGTAGCATAGAAAGGAGATAGGAATAAGAAGGGTTTATTACAACGGGGAAGTACGTTCCCATGTGTACTCCCTCCATGTTCTCTCCCCTGTAATTTTGCTTTCTCTTTTGTGTTCTCTTACCTGTCCACAGGGCCGTATTTGCCAACAGACACATTAGATGACTTCAGGTACCTTTTTGCCAGGAGCACTTACCTTGGAAATTCAAATGTGCTCTTTTTTTGTCTATATTTTAAATGGACCTGTGATTGCTAATTAGTTGGAGCATCAATTTCAGTCGATAATATTCACAACCCGCTTTCTACAAACAGCATTCACACATTACACACAACATTCACATATTACATACTGCATCTAAACACTATGCTTAGCATTACTACTTTACACACAGTATTCATACATTACTCACAGCATTAAAACACTATGCACAGCATTCACACATTACACACATAATTCACACACGTTATTAATGCGCCACAAACTCATACTTTTTGGGGGTAATGAGTAAATTGTCTACAGGTGCGTGGGATATAAATCTGTCATGCCTGCTTATGGACTTTTCCTCCACATTCTCACACCATCCACACATTTAAGTCCAGGTTTTCTCTCCAGTCATTATTCCTGCATTGACATTTTGTCAGTTCTCTTCTTTCTTCAGCCTTGTGATATATTTTCACATGTCCACCCTGCACTTTATCTCAGACACCAATGTCAAATATTTTCTTATTTTGTTATTTTTTATTTCATCCATTTTGTTTTCCATTCTTGTTTTTCATATTGTCCTAATTTTTACCTGCCTCTCTTACCTGTCCCCTGCTGTCAGTGCTGCCAATTTTTCCTCTCCAAGCTGGGGTGGGCTAGGGTCATCAAGTATACGCTGAATCTGCCGCTGGAGTGCACGCGGACTGAGTAAGTCACCATCTTCATACAGACACAGTCTGTAATAGCGTCCTTTGTGGTACACACACACATGGCGACTCTCAACCAGGTGCTGGAGGCGATCTATGGGCGAGATGGCATGTGTGGAGTGAATTATTTATTATACCTTCAATGCTATAATGGTTTATCGTTTGTGTGTTTTGCTGTGTACTAGACATGTGCACCAGCGACATTTTCTTTTTGTACGAATGAATTCGTACTAAATAAAAATGTAATTCATCCATTCCGAATTTCATCCGTAAAACATTCGTTTTTCGGACGAGATTCGGTAAAAAATTATTATTTTTGCCCATTAGGAAGAAAATAACAATGTGCAAGCGCAAAAAAAAAAAAAGCAAGGAGGGAGTGGGCAATGCTACCAGCTCCCTCCTTGTAATAAATATTAACAATTCCTACCACCCCGTGCCTTAAAACCTATGGGGGTTACTATGACCCACATATTAATAAAAGGGAGGTTAAATCCTTGCTCATGCAGGGAGTAGGGGGTTATTGCCTAAACTGGGCTATTGCTGCCCAGTCGCTAGTGCAATAAGGGGGGACCTGGACATAGTGCCCCTCCCTCCCCCGCACCCTGTCTCAGGCTGCAAGGAGAACCAGCATTTTTGGTTTCTCCTGTGTGCTGTGGGGGTTAATTCTTGGAGGTGGGGAGGGAATTTGCCCAGGTCCCCCCTCACCCAAGAAATCAGGGTCATCATTTATGTCTGATGATCATAGGAATAGCACTGTAGCTCATCATCAGCTGGGGTTTTATAAGTTGGCTACCTTCTTAAAAACCTACTGTTCCTTTAATTTAAAGTCATTAAGCAAGTAGGTTATCTATCCCCTTTACTTACTTTGTGGGAAATAAGCAGCAAGGCCAGGGTTGAAAACAACAACATCATTCTAGACTTTGAGGCTTTACTGAATTAACATTAACAATTAAAGCCTTATAATATGTTATCAAGTCACTCAAATATGGAAATGTCTCAGTATTGTACATTATTCGATACAAGATGATTTTCCTGTACATACTTTAGCAACGAAAGGAAATTAACTGTGACAAAGGTATTTACTAAGCCAGAAGTTGTAAGTATTTTACCAGAGAACAGTAAAGTTTAATATGAAATGCACCCAACAGAACATTTTTTTTTCCAGTTCCCAACAAGTGCCAGTCGAAGATTTGAAAGTTACCATAAAAGGAGAGAAATGACTATCTCCCTGTGAAGTATAACTGGTGAATGTAATTCCAACATGGTCCACTGTGTGTCTCTACATTCAACTGCAAAAAGAATACTCATTGCTACTTGTGTGAAGTTTTGTGCTGCATTTATGACGATATGCACAGCAATAAATCAACGTTTGTGCCACTTTGTTTTTGGAGAGGTGAAAAGTGCAAATCTAATGTGCAATATCTCTGAAACCAAAGTGGCACAAACATTAATTTTTGCAGCTCAGGTCAGCACAAATGAATGGTGTATTTGTTTTTAAAATGTAAGAACACATGGAGAAAGTCGCCATTGTTTGAGGAAATTTAATGCGCAATATCTCCAAAACCAAGTGGGCAGTGTTTGATAAAAATTGAATGCACAATATTATTTTTTTTCAGCAGAAATCAGCACAAACGCAACACAAATGAGTAATGCATTTCTTTTTAAAATGTAAGAACACAGGGAGAAAGTGGCCATTGCAGTACTAACGTTCATTTTTGTGACTTAGATGAGCACAAACACCGCAAAAACTAATCTCTCATCTTTATTTATCTTTTTAAAATATTGGGTGCCATGTTCACACAGCTCACATTGCTGGTTAAGGCAGTCCTCTGTTCCAATAAAGTTACAGTTAATAATTTTTTATCATTAGGAGGACATAAATCATATTGGGTCAGATAGTGACAGAGATGCTTAAAAAAAATAATAAAAACAGCCTATGCCATTTTGCAACAACAATGTTTCTATGTCTCGTTTTCCTTCTCAAAGTGTGCCATAGATTTTCCAGGGCCGAACTGGATTGTGATGTAATTTGCAATATATAATACACATTTAATGGAAACTGGAATATTACATGAAAACTATTTAAGACAAATTATAAGTGATGTTTATTGTCTAAGTATCCTTTCCAGGGACGAGTTACCAATTAACACACTGGGAGCAATATTTTCCTTTTACCAACACTTCATGGATTACATTAGAGTGAAAGATGCATTATATTTCATTTTCATGTACAAAACTAGGATCCAGGTCAATGGAACTGACTTAACATATTCAAAATTGGTTTATTGCATCCATTGGGGAATAGAACAGTATTATATCTGGTGAAGTCACAAAGAGAGTTTGCACTGTAATAAATGTTCTCTCTTATTGTTATTATGTATTATGCACATATCTCTTTCATGTCTACTTGCACTCCTCCAGGTAACATTGGCAATATGTTTTTTAATCTGTTGTGTTATCAGTATTATTATTATATCCCTTGTATATTATGACATACATTTGTTCCTGTAAAATTGGTGTTGACTTTTATTTTAAGTCATTTACTGACTTTTTCTACACCACTAAGACATTTTTATTGTGTTTTTATTGTCAATAACTATGTGTTTCCTGCTATGTTAAAATGTGGATCAGATTTATTCACAAATATTGGTGTTGCAGTCAGTCTTTCATATGTAGATCTTTATCGATTTGTTTGTTTAGAATATGAGTATCTACTGTATGTTCCATTAATGTTGACTTACCAGTCTCTGACCCTGGAATTCTCGTAGTATTAAACATTCTCTCCATCTGATAGGAGCACATGGGGACAATACCAAGAGCCATGACCTGGGGGTTGGAGAAGTTGTTATCACTGAGACATCAGGATTCCAGAAGTGTCATTCATGGTGACATTCAGTGCAATATTAGAATGATATAATAAGTCAAATTACATTTTACCTCTTTATCATCCTAAGGATGTCTATTCACAGTTTTTGGATATATCTGTCATTATCTATAGAACATTAACTTTTGTTTGTTGTTAAGGTACCATTATGTTATACTATTTCATATATGCTCTTTCTGTGTTAATGGAGAAGGTTCAGTTTTGCCCTATACACCCAACATCTGAATTACCGTCTAACACAGGCATAGGTAACATTCGGCACTCCAGATGTTTTGGACTACACCTCCCATGATGCTTTGCCAGCATTATGGGTGTAAGAGCATTATGGGAGATGTAGTACAAAACATCTGGAGTGCCGAAGGTTGCCTATCCCTGGTCTAACATCTGATCACTGAACTAGTCCCAGATTCCTTGCTGCTCAGGTACACTTCTCAAGCTGTTAAAAAGCTGCATTTGGTTATTAGAGTTGTCTTCTCCTCATTATCCATGCTTTACTTTGCTCAGTTCAAAAAAATAATATTTAGATACTCAAATATACAAAATTAAACATTAAATATAAAATATGGTCACCACCAAGACAGGTCAGTAGTAAGTTCTGTAGCTGCAGTCTCTCTTGAAGCCTTGAGTTGTATCTGTTGTGATATGCAGCAGAAACAATTTAGACTTTGTCCTTTCAAGTTCAATAACATTAGAACTATTAAGTTGGGAAATATGTTGTACCATAAAAAAAACAAAAAAAAACAGTTTTCTCCACAAACCAGGTCTAGCATTCTTTGCTGAACTTAAAGAACTAGATACCACATTATGCTAGCTCTCTTATTTTCAAACAACCCAAGTGAAACCAAAACTCACACTTGTAAATCTTGGTGTCCTCAGTTGTTTACCCTAAGTCATGCAGGTGTTCTCCATGAGTACTCACCGGAGGTATCAACCCTCTCTCTAATTTTCGACGGTAGAGCAACATTGAATGGATAGCATTTCCTGCCCTTGCAGCCTGTTTGGAAGTTGGGGTTATATTTAGGAAATCCTATACTCCAAAAAGATAATGCCAGAAGAAAAGAGAAAAACAGAGATAGTTACTAATATTCAGTCAGTATATTAACCAGGATAATAAATAAAATAAGAAGATATACAGAAAGAATACGATGTTCAGGACAGCCAACACATCATAAGCACTAGTGGCAGCCATGTCAAATCCAAACTTAGACTACAGTAGCTTGGAAAGCAGGTAAGTCAGTCTTGGACAGAAGAATTTATATCACCATTCTTCTGTTGTATCCCACCTCTGTTTAAACAAACACCTGGCTACCAATCTTATGTATCCTACAATTACCCACGTCAAAATTGACCACCCACATTTCTGGAGGTCCTATTTCGAACATAATATGGGGAGAGACATTCAAGGGTAGAGACACCTTGTTAACCAAATCAGTTTCTCAAGTAGAGTATTTAAGACGGTGTAATTGATATTGTTTAATCACACGTTAAAGAAAGTTGGTATTTTTGCATTAAAGATTAGCTAAAAGTTCAGCTTCATAAAATAGCTCTCTGTGTGCATTAATGCTGAAAGTAGGACAATGTCTGCATTACCATTGAAGAATATAAAATAGTAAAGTTCTTGGGATCTAGATTTTGGTTTTCACTGAGCTTATATACCTCAACATCACTGAGCTTGTATACCTTTAAGGATCTCATGCAATACCAATGACTACATTAAAGTATGCAGCCGTCAGTGGTCACAATGTTTGCATTAGATCAACACAGTTTACCAGCAGACTGTAAACAGGTTAATGAGAGGATCTTTCAACACCATTAAAGTTAATTCAAAGTGAACTTAAAATGTTAGGCCTCGTTGGCAAAAATGGAAACTTGGCTGACTACGAGCATTTGTGGCCTAAATGTTTAAATGCATTTTACATTCATTTTGAATCTCCAAAAACGCATACACTGGTGAATAACCATGAATGTCTATATAGAATGTGACGGCAGATAAGAATTTCTAAGAAGCATGCAACAGTGAGTGACTGCCAGAAATTAATGGTAAATGTGGTGCAGTCACAGAACAATAGTGTGAGACAGTGTGTTACAAATGGCACAAAACATAGTAGGGGCAGGTCTGGGATTACAGAGTGACAGTATGAGTGTAGTACAGCTTCTTACCATTGCATAGTAGTTGCTGTTTACCATAATCGGGCCCCGACTTCGAAGGTAGATATATTCCTCCCACCAGTCACTAACCTGTGGTTAGGAAACAAAAGATGCTATTTTCATAGCTTTGTATTGTGACGTGTTGACTTTTCAGAGCTGTATTCAAAGCAGACTCCTAATTCTCTATTCTTGGATACACACTATTCCAAACATTTTAAGTACAATGTGAAACTGGTATAATGCCGTATTAGACTAATTAGAGTATACCGCAGTAAGCACATTATATGCCTAATATAAACTAAATGGTGAAATATTGGACAGATTGTCTGACTGCTCACAGTGCTAAAGATACAGGATGTATGTACAGCGTTAGTAGTAGAATGCAGTATTAGTTCACGGTTTCTGACATTTTTATAAGAAGCATTAAATGAGGTGATGATCTTCTCTATGTCTTTTCTTGTTTGCACAGATTATAACAAATCCTGAAAGCCCTTTCCTGTCATTGAGCAAAGGATGGCTTTATTATTCTTAGAGCAGACCAGAAAAAGAGATTACATAGGGCATTGAGGAAGATAACATGGGAGATGCTAGAAGTTATTTTCATTATATGCTTTAATATCGTAAAGGACCACTCTAGGCACCCAGACCACTTCACCAAGAGCCGGGTGGGAGGGGGTCCCTGAGTGTGGGGGCACCCTCAGGGCACTATAGTGCCAGGAAAACGAGTATGTTTTCCTGGCACTATAGTGGTCTTTTAATAAGGAAAATTTGGCCACATCCGCCTATCCCAGTTTATATAATTTGACGAGTAGTCCTTGATATTGACTTCTGATGGTTACTTAGATCTAATAATGTAACATCCCGTTTTGCCCTCCAGGATGTGTAAAAGACACAAGTTCTTCCAATTTGAGAATAGAGTGAGGTTGATAAAAAAAAAAAAAAAGGTGAGGAAATAGGCTAAAACGGTAGTTATCACCATCGAAAGCAGTGAAATCTGCAGGAATATTTTCATTAAAAATTATCTTCACTTTTAATGTAATCCTAAATATGCCTAAATTTACATTTTAAATTCACAAGCTCTGTATAAAGATGTATATATCCTTATATTCAATAATTTATTAGATAGACATAAGCTGTCTTGTGTATGTTTCATGTAATTTTAGTTACATTATTATCTCTTATAAAATGGAACAGATAATCTCAAGGCTCTCCAAATTATAAAACAATATACATATTACTACTAGTAATTACTGCACACCCAGAAATACCAACATAATTTGATGACCACCAGGATTTGAGGTGTAGATATTTCTGTAATTTGCGTCCCAGATCACTCTTGAATTCCTCAGCCAATACCTTCATTCGATTGAATTTTTCCTCGTCAAGCAAAGGCTCTACAGACTGTAGGTACTGCAAATGAAACAAAGAAACCGCAAGAGAAAAATAGAACATTGAGATGGGAGACGAATTAATGAGGTATGGAATAAAATAACACAAAGGAAATGTCAAAATCAAAATTACCTCCTCTTATTGTCACATTAAATCAACCAGCTCCAACAATCCTTAATTTCCTATACTCACCTAACCATTGTTGCTCCATTGTTTCCTTACTACTTTGTATCATTCAAAGTGTATCATATCTTATTATTTTATCGTTTTCCGTACCCTTTTTTCTGTGAATCTTTTTTCTTTTTTACATGACACTTTAATCTATTCTCTTATTCTGTTTTATACATATAAAATTATTCAGGTACTGGAATCTAATGTTTTTAACCCTTTCTTCCCAATGACACATTTTACACTGATGTTGTTTAGGAAAAACTAACAACCTGAGTGAAAATATTCCTATAGATAATCATATACGGTTAAAGCGTAAAATATTTTTTATGACTTGTTGCAATCCATTTCTTTTGCTATTTACGTGTCATCCTTTATTTATTTGTGCTTAAATGGTTTCTCCAAGCACCATAATCACTTCAGTGATTCGAAGTAGTCATGGAATCTGTATGAGGAGCTTTTCACTTTGAAATGCTGCAAATACGAAGTTTAGCCCCTCTGCTACCTTAGGTGTAACTCCACCTGTCACCAGTGTCATAGGGCTGTCATGACTAATATCAATTCTGTGAATACTTCTATATACAGAATTGCATTCATAGGTTGAGAGCAGTCATATGACACTCTCAGCCAATGAATGGAGGTGCCATGAGGGTGCATATCATTAGAGCAGGAAGGAACCAGGTAAGCAAGGAAACCATTGCAAAATGGTCTGCCCTATTACCAGGAAACAGGGCCAAGGTACTCCTCACATCATAACCAATAAAGCAGGCTGTAGTGGTAACCATGTAAATATTGCTTATCAATTCCAATGAATATAGCAAAAATTAAATCAAATAAAAAATATCTAAATGAGGCAGAAAAACTTACTGTGGATAGAAAACCTGCTGGGATGCAGGTTCTTCCCCATAAATGTTCAAATCCTGCCTTTGTCATTGGTGCACAAACATCAGACTATATACTATATATATATTAAATCAATATTCTCACTGTGGTCAGACTTGTAACTCAGTGATCTCCATGCACCTCTTACCCTCTCTATCGTGTCCTCAAGGGGTGGCACTGGAAGCTTCGGAAGAGACATCTGGAAACTGTAGAGCATTGGCTGCCTCTTGGACATGATCTTCATGCAACCCTGGAGTAGATAGACACGTACAGAAACTAGCATCACCAAAAATTTCATTGTCAGGGATACAGTTGTATTTGAGATACTTAAAAGGATAAAAGGCATAGAAGGATAAACTGAGCAAACCATTATAGTATTGAATGAAACAGAAATGTTTAACGTGTCCAAATGTACACGCAGTTATGGGTTGTTTTATAATCAAAAGCAAAGGATATAGACAAATAGAATATTATACATAAATGCATTATAGAATTGAATACCATGTTTGAGTGTGTTGTAGATAATGCATAAGAATATACATATATAAAAATATACAAACAAAATAGAAAGAGAAAAGAAAGTGTGCAGCCTTATTTATCGGTCTGCATGTTGGTAGATCGAGAAATAAAAATGTGACCAGGAAAACCAAAGCATAAAAAAAATAAAGGACCATATATTTAAAGATAAAACAAAACTTACTGCCCATGCTTTCGTTTTTATACTCGTTTTCCCTCGTGGCTCAAACATCCACCCATGATATGAAAGAAGAATGCGCAAAGTTTGACGATAGAAAAGAATACCAGAGATCCAGACTCCCGATGAGAAGAGAACAGCACTAAGGACAGTGCGGGACAGGGGTGATAGTGCAGATCTGTACACGTAATATAAGAATAAAACAGCACGGATAGTGAGATGGGAGAGCCAAACCAGATATGTAGGAGAAATATTTAATATCACTTCTAAGACTGACAACGTGAGTAACAAATGTGATGACAATCCGGAATAGAATATCAGCATGACCAAATGGCAGAATTGGGTAACAATCATTTGGTACTTTATTTATCGGTCCCAAGGAAGGCAACTTATGGACATTTAATTTATGATTCTTTACTGTAATATAACCAATTGTTTACGTTTTATCAGCTTGACCTCTATATTTCAGGGCCAAATGTATTACATGAAATAAGTGCTCTGTTGTAACTTAAATCAATACTAGAGTCAACTAGACCACTTCATCTCAATGCAGAGTCCATGTTTTCTTAACACTGCAGGATTAAGTTGACACCTAGTGGCTTCAACAAAAAACAAAGTGCACTGTGCAGTATAAGGCGTTTATAGATAATATTGAAATACAATTAGGGTTAGCAGCTACAACACACGTGTAAGTCACTCTTACTTAACACACAGTCATACAAAGAGTGGAGTGCACTGAGTGGAATGAATAAACCACTTCCGATCAACACAGTGGAGAACTAAAAACAATTTAACAAATGAGTATGGAAAATAACTAAAAATAACTAAAACAACAGAATATGGTGTCGTATATAAGGGTATTGGAGTAGTTAAAAAGTATATTTATAACTCACTCACATGGTTTAGAGCCTTGGGTGGATAGGCTCAAGTCATACTTGCAGAGGTATATTTAGGTAATACCAAACCTTTTCTTTATATATGGATCCAAGTACTCAGAGAAAAGACAAAAAGTGAAGCAAATGCTCCTGGTATATTATCCTCAGTATATATGTAATAAAAAAGTGATGCAAATTGAATGCTCACCTGCTAGAGAGCCAAATATGCTTGGCTCTCAGTGTAAACATCACTGTGCCTTTAAGAGAGCACAACTCTTCTTTGATAGCAGAAATATACAGGCACTCAGACTTGTAAAAAGGCTATAATACTTAATTAATACAAATAAGTTTAAAAATAAAATAGAAGGTAAGTGTAAAATGGTTTTTACAGCTCCACTGGGTTTATCTGAAGTGGTTTATTCCTTCCACTCAGTGCACTCCTCTCTTTGTATGACTACAGGTGCTTCCACTGCATCGACTGAGTAAAATTTGGTCACGTGACGTAGAAGCTCCATTGTAAAGCATTTATTCAGTGGAAGTTTAATGCGCATGTGGATTGGATCATAAAGGAGGAGGCATGGCCTCATTGGAAGTCAAGAGGTAAGCAGTGGCAGGGGAGGATTGGCAATGGAAAGAGGTAAGTAAATCCTGTTTTATTACATTTTAATGCAAACTAGACATGTGCAATTTGTTTCGGGCCGAATATGAATTCGGACGAATTTCGGGCAATTCGGACATTCGGGTACTTCCGAATGTCCAAATAGTCGAAGTGCCGAATTGCCAAAGTGCCGAAGTACCAAGGTCCCGAAGTTCAGAAATTACCGAATTTCCAAAGTGTTGAAGTGCCAAAGTTCTGAAGCACAGGATTGCCTAAGTACTAATATACTTACCCAGTGGAAGAAGAAGAATGTTACACTCTATACAATTTTAAATAAAAAGTATACAAACATAGCCAGGATTCAGCTATAAGCATTTGCAACACTTACAACAATCAAGTAACATACATTCATATAAAATATAAGTTACTTGGCCAGTCAGTGTAATAACAGGAATGAATAAGTAGATAACTCCCTAATTCCCACGGTATTAGGGCGCTATCTACTAAAAGGCTGAAAGACCTGAATTGGTCTTTCAGCCAAATTTACTAATACTAAGTAAAGATTACTTAGTATTAGTAAATTATCCCCCTACTCGCTCTACCGCGAGTAGGGGCATGTCTATTAAACAGTGAGCAGCCCCCCTCCCCCTCCTAACCTATTGCCCCCCCCCCGGCCCCGACCCCTGAATGGCGGGTGGGGGCCCTAAAGTAAAATAAGGGGTGGACCTATTGTCCTCCCCCCGGCCCCCACCCATGAGCAGCGGGTGGGGGCCCTAAAGTAAAGTAATGGGGGGGACCTAATGTCCTTCCCCCTGGCCCCCACCCCTGAGCGGTGGGTGAGGGCCCTAAATACTAATTGGAGGGGGACCTGAGCGGTGGGGGCTCTAAATTAGAACGAGGGGGGAGGACCTAATGTCCTCCCCCCTGGCCCCCACCCCTTAGTGGTGGGTGGGGGCCCTAAAATACTAGTTAGGAGGGGACCTAATGTCCTCCCCCCTGGACCCCCCTCCCCAAAATATTAACCCCTACCTACCCCCTCACCCTAAAAATAATGAGGGGGGACCATTTAACTAAGTACCTAAAAAAAAAAAAAAACCTTACCATTTGATGTTTTCTTTTTTCTAAAATCTTCTTTTTTCAGCCCCAAAAAAAGCCAAATAAAAAGTCATAATAACCGACGCACTAAAAAAAAAAAAAAAGTAAGTAACCAATCAGAGAATTATGAGTCAAATTACACAGAACTTTCCCACACTGTGTAAAATGACACAGAGCACTCTGATTGGTGGATTTCCAACCAACCGGAGTGCTGTGACAGGTAAATGTAGAGACTTACCTGTCAGTCTCTTCATTTATCTGTCAGAGCATTCTGATTGGTTGGCTTAAACCCACCAATCAGAGTGCTCTGAGCCTAATTACAGGGCGGGGGAAGGCTTTATAAGCCTTCCCCCGCCCTGCAGAGCTCAGTCTGCGTGGAGCCCTCCATGGGTGAAGATGGATTATTTTTGGGGGGCTCGTTTTTTTTTTTGTTTGTTTTTTAGTGCGTTGGTTATTATGGCTTTTTATTTGGCCTTTTTTGGGGCTGAAAAAATAAGATTTTAGAAGAAAGAAAACATCAAATGGTAAGTTGTTTTTTTTTTTCAGGTACTTAGTTAAATGGTCCCCCCTCATTATTTTTAGGGTGAGGGGAGTAGGTAGGGGGACCCCTAGTCACCCGGGGGAGGGGGGGTTATTTTTTTATTTAGGACCCAGGGTGGGGGTCAGGGGGGAGGACATTAGGTCCCCCCCTAATTAGTATTTAGGGCCCTCACCCACCACTCAGGGGTGGGGGCCAGGGGGAGGACATTAGGTCCCCCCAATTAGTATTTGGGGCCCCCACCAATGGCTCAGGGGTGGGGGCCAGGGTGGAGAATATTAGGTCCCCCCCAATTAGTTTTTAGTGCCCCCACCCACCGCTCAGGGGTGGGGGACAAGGGGGAGGACATTATGTCCCCCCCATACTAATTTAGGGCCCCCACCCACTGCTCAGGGGTGGGGGCCGGGGAGAGGACAATAGGTCCCCCCCCATTATTTTACTTTAGGCCCCCCACCCGCCGCTCAGGGGTGGGGACGGGGGGGGAGGACAATAGGTCCCCCCCATTATTTTACTTTAGGGCCCCCACCCGCCGCTCAGGGGTGGGGGCCAAGGGGGGCAATAGGCCCCCCCTGTTAGTTTAAAAGCCCCCACTCGTGCATCGTGGGTGGGTGCTTGGGAGGGGGGACCCATTTAAAAAAAATAATAATTTTAACAGTGAGCAGCCACTGGCTGCTTACTGTTTAATAGAAATGCCCCTACTCGCTGTATACAATTTACTAATACTAAAGAAGCTGACCTCTCAGCGAAACGCGTTATCTGATTGGCTACGTGACGTCATCACGTACGCCACACCTCCCGGAAGTATCCTGTGGACTTTTTCATATTGCACTGATAAAGAGTGTTATAAGTGTTTGGATGTAGCACTTGTATTTTTGCACTGAAATTGAATAAATAGTTTGCACTCTCTCACTTTATTGATACAGTCAGTTAAGTTTGCACTTTACAAATATTTAGCTCATGGATAGCTAGCTGAATAAGTTACAGGGTGATTCATTAAAGTGTGAATTGTCACTGATTCTAAGTGGATTCAAAATGTTAAGTCAATATTGCCAAAAATAAGTACCGTGTTTCCCCGAAAATAAACCCTACCCCGAAAATAAGCCCTAGTCGGATTTTCGGGGTGGGCTGCAATATAAGCCCTACCCCGAAAATAAGACCTAGGCATTTTACCTTTGCGGCGAGACTTCCGTCTTCTACTGTAGGAGGAGCGTTGCGGGCCGCGGCATCGCGCAACGTGATGACGACATTTCGCAGCGCCGTCAGTCTGCCTTCACGGATCTTCAGCGGAAGGATCCATTTCCGGGCGGTGAGGCTCCCAGTGGTCGGACTCGGCAAGGAATCTTTGAAATGTGAGTACCGCTAGATATTTTATGTCTGGGATTAATTGAATTAATTAAAGGGGGTGAATTAATTAAAGGGTGGGCTGGATTAATTAGAGGGGGGTGAATTAATTAAAGGGTGGGCTGGATTAATTAGAGGGGTGAATTAAAGGGTGGACTGGATTAATTAGAGGGGGTGAATTAATTAAAGGGGGGTGAATTAATTAAAGGGTGGACTGGATTAATTAGAGGGGGTGAATTAATTAAAGGGGTGGTGAATTAATTAAAGGGTGGGCTGGATTAATTAGAGGGGGTGAATTAATTAAAGGGGTGGTGAATTAATTAAAGGGTGGGCTGGATTAATTAGAGGGGGTGAATTAATTAAAGGGGTGGTGAATTAATTAAAGGGTGGGCTGGATTAATTAGAAGGGGTGAATTAATTAAAGAGGGGTGAATTAATTAAAGAGGGGTGAATTAATTAAAGGGTGGACTGGATTAATTAGAGGGGGTGAATTAATTAAAGGGGTGGTGAATTAATTAAAGGGTGGGCTGGATTAATTAGAGGGTGGTGAATTAATTAAAGGGGGTGAATTAATTAAATGGTGGACTGGATTAATTAGAGGGGGTGAATTAAGTAAAGGGGTGGTGAATTAATTAAAGGGTGGGCTGGATTAATTAGAGGGGGTGAATTAATTAAAGGGGTGGTGAATTAATTAAAGGGGTGGGGAATTAATTAAAGGGTGGGCTGGATTAATTAGAGGGGGGTGAATTAATTAAAGGGTGGGCTGGATTAATTAGAGGGGGTGAATTAATTAAAGGGGGGTGAATTAATTAAAGGGTGGGCTGGATTAATTAGAGGGGGGTGGATTTATTAAAGGAGGGGTGGATTAATTAAAGGGGGGGGTTCAATGTACATACCGGTACCGTAAATAAATAAGCCCTACCCTGAAAATAAGCCCTAGTGTGTTTTTTGTGACTAAAATTAATATAAGACCCGGTCTTATTTTCGGAGAAACACGGTATAACTAAGACATGTGTCATGGGCCTGAGCCTGCCTATAAAATCCCAAAGAACCTCTGGATAAGTGTTCAATTATCTGGATGCCCTAGTTCCTGAGATTCAGCATTCTTCTGCTTCATTGCTCTATCTCCTTCTCCAGTTAGTCAGCTTCTTCTTCTTAATCTGCTTTTCTGGCTCTCTGACCTGTGCCGCTTTTGAACCTTCACTATGATACTGCCTTAGACTTTGGATTTTCCTAATAAAGTCCCTGCATCTCCACACATGTAGTGTGTGTACACAAGTAGTGTACTGAAAGGTAGGGTGTGCTGTGTTCTGCCTTGGGGCTCCTGCTCTTCTTCTCACAGGTCCTCCCCATAAGGCTTGATACTTCATTGTGTTTTGGGAAGTTTGATTAATCAATTATTAAATAAACATTTTACACAAGATCATAGCTTTTTGTGTATTCTTCAACTTATATTGCACATGTATAAATGTATTATATTGTCTTGTATTGGGTCACTCACTTTCCTGGGAGCACATTAGTGATTTTGGCAATGAGTCCAACAGACAGATCCACTTTTCCATATAGGGACCCAAGAGTAACGGCCACCACAGCAAACCATGTGGAAGGGCTGGCAGGATACACACCACTTAACACGGAACTCTGTGATCAAATAAAGAGGAATGAGAGCTCTTGGGAGAAGTAGATGCCTCGCAATCATTTTAGATACTTTGTCCCAGTGTCATCACATGGCACAAAAACACATACAATATGATGTCAAATAGTAATTTCTTAACCCATTTATTTTAACAGATATAAGAAAGGGGCTCTGAATGTAATTTTTTTTATGGATCTTCAGTAAATTAGGCTGATTTCCAAATACAGTTGTCTGTTTCTTATATTCAACAAACACTTTTTAGCATCTAGTAAAGGCTGTGTACAAAATCAGCATATTCTTTACAAATAATCTGAAATTAAGCTAACCTCAGTTGTAGAATTCTATATGTTTAAATACCTTAGGAATGTACAACAGACAGGCTAGAACAATCACAAAACTACTTGCCTTACATTCCACTGACTACTAGTATCCCACTGATAAGTATGACATATCAATGTGTGTTAAACTGATAATTAAATGCTCATCATAGAATGATATCACTGAAACACAGTAATAGTGCACTATCAACAACAGTATATTCAAACATATTATGAAATAGCCAGTAATTAGAATGCTGAATTATTATGTATGTTTGCAAACTATTTCAAGTGCGTAGGTTGGAGACCGCTATAAGAATATTTTATTAACTAAAACATATTCAAAATGTAGTTTGTGCCACCCAAAATGTTAATGGAGGAAATGACAAAATATAATAAAGTTTCTGACAACACCCCTTTACCAACATACGGCACCCGATTAAATTGGTCATTTCTATACATAAAAACACAGCTAAACTTTCGTTATAAAATTACTGAAACTACAATATATAAAATGAACCTCTAAACTGTCACGGCTGCTAGTGTGGTCCAACACGCAGAAACTATGTAAACATATACATACAAAAGGAAAGGAAATAAAAGGACAGAGCGTAAACCGGACCTTAGAATGGCCGGACTAATACACTAGAGATAGAGAATGGTCAAAGGGAAAGCCGAGGTCAAGGAAGCCAGAAATACTCAGATACCGTTTAAACAAGCCAAGTCAGGGGAACCAGAATTCGGAATAACCAGGGAAAAGCCGAGATCAGGATACCAGGAAGTAATATTCACAAAGATAAACGCACTCCATGGAACCAGGAACAGGAAACCACGGCATGGCAAGGCACTGGGGTGAATTAGGGATTTAAATATCCCTCTCTAAGTTCTGATTGGTCAGAGGGTGACCTCTGACCCCAGAACGTGCGCGTGCATTGACGTCGTGACATCACGCGCACGTTCGTATAATTTTGAGGGGTGGAGCCATGGATAGACGCGAGGAGGAACGGTTCCCGGCTCGCCGCTGAGCAGGTAAGCCCTGTGAGTTGGTCCGGTCGTGCACGACCGTGACAAACAAACAGTGAATATGTTTGAGCTTTTACAATGTTAAATAATAATCTGCATTAGGGTATCCCTGGACACTGCTGGTGCACTCTTTGTGTGTCCCCATGCCTGAATATGCTATGAATGTATGTTGAGAATATAGAGGGTCTTGTAATACTATACTGCAGATGTGCAGCTAGTATATCTAATAGAAAGCCTATGGCGCTCACTAGGCATAGCTGACAAATATGATCATGCTTACTCAGCGTGCCAACCATAATGTGAACTTAATATCTAGGCATTAGCATGGGCATCCATCATTTGATAACCAGTCCACATCTCGACAGAATACAAATCTTACTCTTGAATACAATTATGACCTTTTAAAATGTATCCATGAATGATATCTATGCTTAAACAAAATGCCTTGGTACTCAGTATTCTGATTCTTCACACTGGCACTGGAAATTATTAAATATTACCATTTCAGAGGCTGAATACAAAACTCAAGCCCATTAAGTTTATCACAAATCTGTATTACTGCTGTTGTTCCAAAAGAAGGCAAACATTTTAAAGTGATTTCCAGTTTTGCTACAAATTGAAATACCCTTCTTGATTTCAAAGATGCAATTAGATTCTTCCCTGGATCAAAAACATGTTACCTAGATATTAACTAATATATCCTTGAATATTCTATTATTGATGCTGTTTTTTGGGGGTTTTTTTTAAACAAAACTTACAGACTTTGATTAAAATATGGACAGAGTCTGATAAAAATAAAAGGTTTCTGCAGAGACTTCCATATGTCTATTGTTCTTATTGTAAAGTACCCTTTCCTCTGCCATAGGTGAAATCTCCACTCTCGTCATGTCTAAATCTATAATCTAAAGTGTGGTGTGTTGATTCAACAGATGTTATATAGTCCAGTGAATGTACCTTGCCTATTGTAGTGTAAGTATACACAAATTAGTATAGGTGAATAATTCATAAGCAGAGTAAAACTCATATAGTTATGTCACCATCACCCGTTTCACCAGTATAGATGTGATTTATGAAAGGTCTATCTGCTTCTACATTCCATCATACTCAGATAGAACATCGTGTTCCGCCAATAGAATACAAGCATTGCAGATATCTCGGTGGAGTCTGCATAAATGCTCGGTCACCTCACTCTCCTCTAGTCTGTGACATGATGTTCTGCTACTCAATAAAACCTCCTCCAAGCATGCCCCTGGGATTTGTGCCAGTTACAGATGGCTTACTTTTCCACGGTTATCATGTGAAATTACTGTGCATACATAAAGAGCACTGGAAGGCGTTATTAAATACAGATAGCGAAAATAACTGCACTCACATAAAATGTGTTAAAGATAATAATATAATCAGAAAAACAATGTCCTATACATTTCCAGCAGCGATGACAGGCCCCTCTCAATAATAATTAAATATATTTTTTTTTATACGTAAATGAGATATTGCAAGGGATGTAAAACCCATGGTTATTGCTCGTCCTAGTAATGTGCAATATGTCAAAATATAGAGTACAACTTAAAGGGGAACAATATTTCATCTATGGAATTCACACCATGAATAAAACTTTAACAATCGCCTATAACCTATGTAAACCTTTTTTACGAGATACTCCATTGTGTTCTATATTTATTTTTAGATTAGATTAGATCATAATCCAGTTCAGACAAGGCAAAATCAAGGTAAACACGGCAATGAAGAAGATAAATAGATAAAGTGGAGCTTATGTTTGAAAAAGTGGTGCAAGATGTAAATGGAATTAGCTTGATGGTTCCTCTGATTTTGATGATGATTGCCCAACATTTCATTGTTATACAATTTCCTTTTCGCTATATGCTTTCTCTATGGTGACTGCAGGTATAAAGGACAGAGCCTATAACAATGATGACATGGAGATAAGATGGACACATCCAGTTACAGGATAAAGAAGTGTAATTTCAAAGATTTTATTTAATATTTTCTTTTAATAAAATGTATTTATTTAAAAAAATAATAAAAAAAACTTTTAAACAGTATACCATAATGAAAACAAGAGAAGTAGCACCTGTAAAAGTATGTTGATTACAATTAGGAATAAATAAGCATTTGCCCAGCTCTCCTACCAATACAATACATTAACCTAAATATTCTTTGCACTCTGCAATGTCTACAGCGACATGTACGGAAGCTGAATAAATTATTATTATTATTTTCTCTAATCAGATCATAATGAATTTAATTGATTTGTACAATATTGCAAATTAACGAGAGCGCCTCAGCTTCTACTTTAATAAAATGTAAATATAAAATGTCACTGTCTCTTTTGAATCACCTTAAGTCTGATTAGACGTTTTCTTATTTCTACCAGTCCAGTGAGATACAGATGTCGTAGAGCATCGCGACCCAATTGAAGATCAATTCCATCGGGAGTAACAGTGAACTGAAAGGCTACCGCTTGGTGAGCCTCTGCCATGTTGGGACCTGTAACACAGGGTTTGATAGTGTTAGGATATTCACTTTGGCTATATCAGCAATCATAAGTATAGCAGGAAGACCTGCTAAAACAAAAAGTCTGTTTTACCCTATGGATCCGTAAAGATAGGATAGAATCTACATGGGAGCCACTATGTTGCATTTTATTATTGACCTTCCTTGCACCGAAAATGATGGGCCCTATGATTTTTCAACATTAATTCCAGTATTTAACGAACTGGAAAACTAAACAAGGTTATTCACAAAAGTGTGAATTAGCAAGAGTTCACTGGGAATTTAAAAGTTTAGGCCAAAATAGTAGAATTTGAAAAATTCTCCAAATCAGCAATATTTTCAGTTTGACTATTCTGGCCTTAAAATTTGAATTTACTTTGAATTTCTGACAAATTCCCACTTTAGAGAAAAAAAAAAGTCTAGCAGGTGTTAAAATGTATTCTTACAAGGAATGTGACATATGGTTACAACAATACATTTGTTATGTACTATTGCTATTCCTTTCTAACCTGTCTCAATTATGTCATCAAACTGTGTCCCAACAGACTCATTAATTTCCCTTTAACCTCCTCCCCCTTCCTCCTGACTGCTGGGTCTATTTTCAAGTAAAAACTTGGATGATGCCCAAGTGTGTGAAAGGTGAGGTAGAGACGGGAGGCGGGGAGCTGAATCCAAGATGGAAATAGGAGGAATAGTTTAAATTCAAGATCGTAATAGCAGAACATTTAAAAGATTTAATAGTTAATAATCTTGAAGACATGTCTGTGTGTAAAGAAACAGATATTCATGGAGCGTGAAGTGTGTAGGGGTTTAGCAGATTGCCCCTCTCAATCACTTTATAGATTTTATCTTTTAGCTGAAAGCAGCAAGGTGATTTGTTATTGTAAGACTTAGCTAATAGGTTTTACCTTGACATGGCAGGTGAGCACACACTTTCATGGCCATTGGAGTTATACTTAAAAAAGCTCCAGTTATTTAAATGTGCATATAGGGATTTGAGAAAGTGTGCAAGTAACCTTTTTCTTTATACTGTACATTGTACATATATGTAAACATTGAGCAATCAGCTGGAGCGTATATTGGTTTCCATGGTGATGGTTCCACATTTAAATTTTTGTTCATAATAACTCTATATTTATAACTCTCCTTCCCCTAATTCTAATAAAAGTGCTAAATGTTTATGTGCAGGAAGCAAGACAAATGCATAAATACGGTACGTATATGATCTGTTACATTCATACCAAGACTGCACTATGATGTTACAGCGTAATGAGCAGGGAATAATGCTCCATGCAGCTCGGAGCACCGAATCTCAGGCAAAACTAACTTAACATGTCCAGGACCGACTGAGATTAGTGGGAGTTATACTCCATATAAACATCAGGAGATGACAACGTTTGTACCTCGGACCAGAACTCCCACTGATCTTGGGCAGCATGTGGACATATATATCCCAGTACTGCATTTATTGTAAGTACCTCTCCTTAACAAATGCACTACCTTATCACTAAGAATTAACTCTTATACTTCATAAAATTATTACTAAGCATTATTCCCTACACTAAACCACTACACATGTTCACTGAACATTAACTAAGCATTCTAACTCTAGGCTTAGTGTTAAGGTCATTAACCCCTATATGACCTTAACACTAAGCCTAGTCCTAACCATAATTCTAGATTAACCCTAACAACCAAACCTGGGGGACATTAATGCTATCTCAAACCAGAACCCCTTAATGGGATTATTTTTTTACAATATACAACACATATATGTACAATATATATTAGTATAAGGGTAAGCATTAAATAAATATTTAGAAATAAAATAATCAAAATGAAAGTAGGTTATGGGTGCAGTCTCTACAGATTTGTCAAAGTGTTCCAGTAATCTACCAAAAATATGAAAGCTTAGAAGTTTAAATTTCTCACAATCTATACAGCTGCTCGTATATTCTGAGCTTGTTCATACAATGACTGGTTTAAAGCAATTATATAAAGAAGAATTTCAATGAATAAAGTCATCAAAGACATTTAACTTTGATCAAAAATGAGGAAGTCTCACAGCCTGAAAATAGTTTGACAAAAACTGGAGGTACAGCACCTAGCACCACAGACTCCAACAATAATGGTTAGTCCGTTTAACCCCTTAAGGACACATGACATGTGTGACATGTCATGATTCCCTTTTATTCCAGAAGTTTGGTCCTTAAGGGGTTAAAGCGGTACGGTCATAAGGATAAAATCTCACTTAAATACTAACCCAGTCAAAAGATATACTGAGAAAAAGTAGGGACTACTTTGTCTCAGTTTTTTCCCTAAGTGTGACAGTTTTAGACACTGGACGCTCTATTGCAGGAAATTGGCTCGGTCTATTGAGGATCGCAGTTTTGCGGGACCTTTCATAGCCCTCAATGCTGTATTCTCACACGTGTGCAAAAGTACAGCAGTGATGTTGGCTGCAGAAGAGGAAAGGCCAGAAGAAGATGGCAGTGCCCGCACGGAACAGGTTCAGGTAAGTTAAACTCACCCGTACCTGACGCCCTCAGTCACCGGACTCATAGCAGCGATATTGCTGTAAAAGTATATTTAAAATTATGCAAATGCCCCAGATGGTGATAGTATCGCTTACTGTACTTGGCAACAAACATGCAACAAGAAAAAATGTGTATTTTTTTTTATATATGTACAGTGGGTGAAAAAGGTATTTGATCCCCTGCTGATTTTGAACGTTTGCCCACTGACAAAGAAATGATCAGTGTATAATTTTAATGGTTGGTGTACTTTAACAGCAAGAGACAGAATAACAAAACAAAAAATCCAGAAACACACATGTCAAAAAAATTATAAATTGATTTGCATGTCAATGAGTGAAATAAGTATTTGACCCCTTTGAATTAGTACTTGGTGGCAAAACCCTTGTTGGCAATCACAGAGGTCAGATTTTTTTTGTATTTGGCCACCAGGTTTGCACACATCTCAGGAGAGATTTTGTCCCACTCCTCTTTAAGTCATTAAGGTTTTGAGGCTGACGTTTGGCAACTCGAACCTTCAGCTCCCCCCAGAGATTTTCTATGGGATTCAGGTCTGGAGACTGGCTAGGCCACTCCAGGACCTTAATGTGCTTCTTCTTGAGCCACTCCTTTGTTGCCTTGGCTGTGTGTTTTGGGTCATTGTCATGCTGGAATACCCATCCACAACCCATTTTCAATGCCCTGGCTGAGGGAAGGAGGTTCCCACCCAAGATTTGATATTACATGGCCCGTCCATCGTCGCTTTGATGCAGTGCAGTTGTCATGTCCCCTTAGCAGAAAAACACCCCCAAACACGTCGAGTTGAGTTGATGCCAAAAAGCTCTTTCACCCAGTACTCCTCTGAATCATTCAGATGTTCATTGGAAAACTTCAGACGGGCCTATACATGTGCTTTCTTGAGCAGGGGGACCTTGCAGGCGCTGCAGGATTTCAGTCCTTCACGGAGTGTTACCAATTGTTTTCTTGGTGACTATGGTACCAGCTGCCTTGAGATCATTAACAAGATCCTCCTGTGTAGTTCTGGGCTGATTCCTCACCCTTGTCATGATCATTGAAACTCCACGAGGTGAGATCTTGCATGGAGCACCAGACCGAGAAGGACTGACAGTTATTTTGTGTTTCTTCCATTTGCAAACAATCGCACCAACTGTTGTCACCTTCTCACCAAACTGCTTGGCGATGGTCTTGTAGCTCATTCCAGCTTTGTGTAGGTCTACAATCTTGTCCCTGACATCCTTGGACAGCTGTTTTGTCTTGGCCATGGTGGACAGTTTGGAATCTGATTGATTGATTACTTCTGTGGACAGGTGTCTTTTATACAGGTAACGAGCTGAGATTAGGAGAACTCCCTTCTGCTCCTAATCTCAGCTCGTTACCTGTATAAGACACCTGGGAGCCAGAAATCTTGCTGACTGATAGGGGATCAAATACTTATTTCACTCATTGACATGCAAATCAATTTACAACTTTTTTGACATGCATTTTTCTGGATTTTTGTTTTTTTTGTTTTGTTATTCTGTCTCTCACTGTTAAACTACGCCTACCATTAAAATTATAGACTGATCATTTCTTTGTCAGTGGACAAACGTTCAAAAACAGCAGGGGATCAAATACTTTCCCCCCTTACTGTAAATATATATGGTTGGCAAAGTTTTTTCATAAATCAGCTACATTTACAAGGTTAAGAAAGTTCACATTTTGCTTTGTTTTTGTTTTAGCCATACTGTATTTGTTGATGAAATATAACACAAAACAGTAATGTACTGTACTGTAAACTAACTTGTATTAATAATATAATCACTGAAGGTGGAATATACAGACAACATCAGACATTTTAAGACCAATGCATCAGGCAAAGAACATTATATATGAATACAAAAAAATTATAATAATAAACACATACTAACAACAATGAAAATAATAAATAATAAAAGTTATATTAGATCCTGTGTTTATATATAAATACATCTATGCAGAACCGGACTAAGTTTGCATAGGACCTAGACACAAAGCCAGATTGAAGATCACTCCTAGGTCCCTGGGCTCTGTTTGTGTATGTTGTGTTTATGTATGCGACTGAGTGTTGTATGTGTGTGTAGGAGATTGAGTGCTGTATGGGGGGAGGGGAGGCAGAGTTTGCCTGGGTGCTGGCTGGCTGGCGAGAGAGTGAGTGTCCATCTGTCCGTCCGTCCAATTGGGCCCTGTTTGAGCCAGGCTAGAGGAGAGGAGGAGAGAATGGTGTGCTGCCCTTTAGGAGAGAGCAAGGGACAGATATGTGAGGTAGAGGTTACTGTGGGAAGCCATAAGCTTTCCTAAAGAGATGGGATTTGAGGCACTTTTTAAATGATTGAAGACTAGGGGAGAGCTTGATGGTCATAGGCAGGAGTATTCCAAAGGAAAGGAGCCACCCGTGAGAAGTCCTGCAAGCATGGGTTGGCTGTACGGGTGCGTACAATGGAAAGGAGAAGGTCACGGGCAGAGTGGAGAGACAAGAAGGGGCATACCTGCGGATCAGTGAAGAAATATAGGAGGAGCTATAATTGGTCAGTGCTTTATAGGTGTGGATTAGTACCTTGAATTGACTCCTATAGGATACAGGAAGCCAATGTAAGGACTGACAGAGGGGAGAGGTGTGAGAGGAGCGACAGGAGAGGAAAATCAGTCTACCTGCAGCATTCATTACAGACTGTAGCGGGGCAATACGACTTGTGGGAAGAACAATTAGGAGAGAGTTGCAATAATCCATCCAAGAGATAACTAGAGCATGGACAAGCTCCCTAGTAGCATCTTACGTAAGAAAGGGTGGATGCAGGCTATTTTTTTCATGTGGAATCTACAGGATTTGGTAATAATAATGGACTGATATGGGTACCACTCACTTGAAGGTAGAGCAAAAGAGGGGGATCAGTATTAGGAGGAGGAAAGACAAGGAGTTCAGTTTTAGAGAGATTGAGTTTCAAAAAGTGGAAGGACATCCAATCAGAGATGGAAGAAAGGCAAGTAGTGACACATTGCAGGAAGGCAGGGGAGTGGTCCGGGGAGGAGAGGTATATCTGAGTGTCATCAGCATACAGATGATATTGGATCTGCCTGGAGAATTGGCAGGTCAGTCTGCCAATCAAGCAGGCCAGCCCACCAAGGGCAAACTATGGAACAAACTTGGGACAGTAGGTTTGGACCCTGAAATTGGGAATGTCCCACAGAACTCGGGAATGTAGGGAGGTGTGCAGCTGTACCACACATTGATGAATTCTGGGTGAGTCATAGTTTAATATTGTACATTCACTTTCCAGAAACTGAAATAATGTTCTTTTACATTGCACAAAAAATAAATCTGGTCCTACAGACATCACGAAACAATGTTCATACCAGCATTAACAAAACAATAAGCATTTTGTTTGTCTCCTGGTGCGAAGGGAAAATGGAATGTTTTAATGAGTTTTATATCTCAGCTTTGGGACATAGATGTAAGCTACACAATACTATTTTAATTTATCCATAAAACTGAGCAATACATCTCAGACATTATTGCATGGTGTGTTTTATTTAACCTCGTGGATTCATCCGATACAGTGTCTCCAACAATTTACCTGCTAGCTATTTAATACAAGCAGAATTTTAAAGGATCATTATTCTACAGCACAGTACAAAGGGTAAAAACACATACAAGTAAACGATGACAAACGTAGAAGAGATGGGGGTCCTGTTTATAAATACACCCAGTTAATAACACAGACAATGAGAAGTAAGCAACAGCTGTAATGGATTCTTAGGTGAGCAAAATATGTTACACAAATACAGTAAAATGTGAGATTTGATACAAATGCACATAAAAATAGACAAAAACCCAGTAAGTTACAATACACTCTGGTGTTTGGACTATTCACTAAACCGTTGATTTTCAGGAATTCACCAGGGAATTTCAAGTGCTAGGCCAACACAACAGAACTGTGAAAAAAAAATCAAAATCTCAGCTGTATTGGTGCTAAATTTGCAATCCCCCGATGAATCCCTGAAAATACATACTTTACTGAGTAACCCGGGCTGTACTAAGCAGACAGATCCAGACACACAGCTCTTGGATACTGTACACAGATGGTTATAAATAGATATAAAACAGGGAAAGCAACAAGCCGAACTTTTATGCACACCAAAAATTGCCCGGTTGCCTGCCATATACAATGTTACACAGACATACAGAAAATGGAACAGATACACTAGCAGCTCACCTGCTACTTCTTCCCCTTCTTAGATCTACAGCCTACACATGAATACACCCTCTATTACGCAGTTGCTCCTTTCTGTCCTCTGTGTCCTTCAGCTGTGTGTATGTGTTAGTGTGTCTGATGTTCTGTGCTGGAGCCAAATACCAATGTAACCTGAGACACTACACACAGAAATGAGATGTTGTACATTGACACATAGCACAAGCAGTGGAGCATTACACAGAGAAGGGACAGAAACAAAGTTAAAAAAAATAAAAAAATAAATAAAAAAAATAAAAAACAAACACCTGCATGTTTATGGAATTATCACAGGATTTATATGGTCTTGAGAAATTCTTGAATGAAATGCCAACAACTTACTTCAAAATAGAATTAGTTGGTGATGAGAAATCTAATAGTTTTCATTACTGTAAAAAGTTTTTATAAGTTAGAAAAAAAAAGTTTCACAAGAAAAAGAAAAGTCAACACACTTTCAAAAATTTTCTTCTTTAAGAAGCTCCACAAAAAGGTGATAGATTTAAATGTACAGACATATGTACTTAAACATTGTCAATTGTCATTAAACATTATGATGTTTCAGCGGTTTGCCATGTTACTTTTTTTTTTTTTTTTTTAATACCTCTCGTATGTATTCACATGCCTTGCTGCTATCCCAACATTGCAGTGTTTAAAACACATAATAAGGTCATGTGCTGACGTCTGTAAATAAAATATTATTTGTATGAAATATGCCACAAAGCATTAACAAATAGTGAATGGATGTCAATATGCATAGACATCCAATGACAATAAGGTCATGTGCTGACGTCCTGTATGATTACGCAAGCAGAATATTTCTAAAACTACTTTACTTCCTGTTCTTATTTACGACAATATACTTACCTCCAGTCCCAAGTGTCCTTATTTAGGAGGGACAGTCTATTATTTTGGGTCCAAGTCCCTCTGTTCCACTTTTCTATCCTGATCTGCCGCTTTAAGAGCTCCATATTGTTGGTGTGTCTGAGTCTATAACAGAACTTCACAACAATAATACTCACAGTAGTGTGTCTTTAAACTACAATACATGTGTTTAGAAATTAATAAGTGTAAATAAGATCCATTGTTAACATTTTAGTTGCATAAATTGTTATTAATGTCACATAAAATGAACAGCCCAAGCTCATGGCCACTGCTTAATTCACACCACTAATCTTAAAGTGTCCCTCTTCATTCATTTAAAATGTTGGAAAGTATGGCAGTGTGGGTTTTGGAATATCTGAAAAGATGCACTGTGAATCAATTTAAAGAATGGAAAGTAATGCAAGACAAAAGATGCACGTTTACTGCACCACTAAGAATAGAGTCGCTCAGTACAAATAAAAGCCTATGCTACGGCTGTGGTTCTTAATCCTTTTAGATAAGAACCTGAAATTTTATACTTGGTGATCCATTCTTTAATTGCAAATTTAGCCCATTCATCAACTCGAACTGTAATTTAACATATACTAAGCAAGAATCATGAAAAACAGATTGATCAGAATCTTCCAAGTGTCCTATTGATCTTGCTTCCATTAGAAAAGCAAGGCCTTCAAGATGAATGGAATAGGTCTATTGCAACCAGTGAAGACCCATTTTTTGGTGTGAGGAGCCACAACCCAGCGCCTTGGAACTTTGAGCCAGATCGAAGAATAGCCGTGGCCCGCTAAAACTTTCTTCCATCCAAATCGGGCCAGCCACCTCCAATCTGACTGCTTTTTGGACACATTGGGTGCTCAGGGACAAGCCATCTGGGGATGCCACATATGTAGAGGAGCATCACGGTTTTCTAAATGTTTTTAAGGTTTTTGTACTGTTCCAGAGAGAATTGTATTAGCGCATGTGTGTCTGGAAGTTACTTGAATTACGCAAGGTATGCTGCAATCCACTCCCAGACACAGAGGTGCCTGTGCAGGTTTTACTGTGCTTTCAATGGAGACCCCATGCTGGAAGCCTGTGTATATAAACCTGTGGTTCATTCAATAAAGTTAGTCCTACTTCACCCTTCACTAAGTCTTAGCTAATGTTTGAGTGAGACTGCTGTAAAAACTATACGCATCAGAGCTATATCACGGTATCCTAATCCAGGGTGCAAAAGTTCCAGAAGGACCCGATTTAAGCTGTAGCGACCAAGACAAGAGCAGTCCAGGTTTTCCCCGTTACAGCTAGGAAGCAAGCTTGGTGGAAATACTCACAAAAGGCTCAATCACATTGACTTATTTTCAAAAATTCAAGTTAGGGAGCAGTTTGGAAATGGTGACCACAATATTGCATTATTTAAGATTATCTTAAGATAAACAAAATGATATGGGCTGTACAAAATCACTTAATTTTAAAAAGCACTAAATTCAATAGGACAAGGGCATCTTTACAACTAACTGACTGGCAGGAAATATTCACTGACAAAAGCACATAAAAAGGATAAATTGAATGTATTTAAACAAATTCTACAAAAATACACTTCTCAATACATACCATTGGGAAACAAATATAAAAGAAGCAAATTAAATCCAATGTGGCTTAGTATAAGGGTCAGTCAAAGAATAAAAGGGCATTTAAAACATTTAAATCAGAGGGGTCGCTTGATTTGTGTCATCTGCAGAGTGAGCTGGAGAAATTGGGGACTGGAGAGGCAAGTGGCAGATGAGATTCAATACAGATACATTTTGGAATAAGGAAACAACAAGACACGTCTTCATATTACAAAAACAGGGCTGCTTTAATCTGCATTGTATGATAGTCAGAAAAAAGTAATTCACAAATTGAAAGTACTTTAAAAAGTTTTTTATTAATTTAAAATAAAAAATGGTTAAATTAAACATGCACAATTGACACAAATATCTGCATTATTTTGGTCTGATACTTAGCAGCATTGCATATTCATAGTAAGATGAGCTTGGTATAGTTGGCAGTACTGCAAATTCAGGAACTGTATCTTTGAAACAAGGGTGTCCAGGTAATTTCTTTAAACGAACACATTCGAGTGACTTCAGCTGAACTGCTGCAAAGGGTGAGTCTTGAAGCCAGAAAACAGTGATAATAAGGAGGAATTTTTGTAAAATTAAATAACCGTTCAGGAACAAGAAGGATTTTTTGTAAAATTAAATAACCGTTCAGTTGCATATTTATTTGAAAATCATGACCAGAGACGTTTTTGTTGAAAATATGCTTCAAACCGAGAGATGGCATATTCCTGCAAAACAAGGAAATGCAAGGTTAAATTCTCTTTGACAAAATCCCACCAGTAAAGTAGCAGGCATGTCTTCTACAAGCAATGCCCTGCCATAAATTTTAGTATACTGCAATGCAGCGAGTTCCATGTATAAATTCCATGTTAAATTACTATCATCCTGGTCTTCAAACATACACATTCAAGGATTATTATGATTATTATTATTGCCATTTAAATAGCGCCAACAGATTCTGTAGCGCTTTACAATAAGTGATAGCAAAAACAAACAAAAAAACAACCAAACAAAAAGTGATGTTGCTTTTTAAAATTAAAAATATTTTAGTAATGCATATGTCCCCATTATTTCTGCAATGGACTGTTGCATGTATGTTAGACAAATGCACATAAGGACTTGTTTAATGGTCAGCTGTAAAGCAAAACAGGCGGAACTCTGCTTTAGACAGTAAAGGTGGATTTCAGAAACTAGTTATGCTCAATACTCACCAGATATCCAAATTCAATAGTGGAGATTTTTGCCTGCAATATAGACCACAGACCCCAAAAGAAATGCGAGGCCAAAGCAAACCTAAAGACAATAATAATAATATACCAGTGAGACAAAATTAGTTGGTAAGGATGTCGATAAAAATCGAAACTAGTTTGTTATTGTATTTAATCAGATTAAATAGATGGATCAAAGATTGATTCATATATCCCAAACATTTCCTGGCTGATAACCCAATATAGGATTTACACGTTCCCAGAAAAGAATCGTTTTTTTCCCTCTGTTTTAACAATTCATAGTTTCAATGCCTTGTGTACACAAGCACACACTGTGGACATAATGCAATATCTAGTAAGTGGAGTGAAATAGAATGTGACATTACAAGATCCAGAAAAAAGAATTCATTAGCTTTCTCCTTACCTGTTAACCTCTAGAACCATTGCTTCTGTCTGAACAAGACATTCCTCCTCACTAAGGGCCGGACAGCTCTCAGCAAGATATGAACGGAAAAAATGAAGCTAATGAGACAGAGGAATATAGGTCAAGAAGATTGTGGTGCACATGTTCTACCTATATAGATGTTAACATGTTTAGTTGTCTCTGCTAAGAATATTATGGGAGCAAAGACCAAGTAAGGACAGGGAATACACTTTTACAGAAGCAAATGTTATAGTAATTCCCTAAATTTGTGCCAACTCTAAAGTCAACCACTGGATGTAGAGAGAAAATTGTTGACTAAAGGCTGGCCCTTCACCAAATGACCCTCTCCTCCTCCACTTACTTTATGTTCCCAGGGTTGGGCAAAAATAAAGAAATCTCCAACATTTTGAATAAGACAGAAGACTCCAGAAATCGAGTCACACTAGTTCCAGACACTGGTTTAAGAGGGTGAAACTGGGTTACACAATTTAAACTCAAGGAAAAAAAGTTTCTAGAACATTGCAACTTCTTCCTTCGGTGACCCAGGTGACTGCTTGGCTCTGGGGATGGCCCGTGCTGGAGGCTGCTTTCCATTTCTTACTGCATACTTTACTTTAAAAAAAATATGTCATTTAATTGGATAATTTCCATTTCAAAATAAAGCCGAGGAAAACAGTTTATTTATCCTAGTTAATTCTCAAGTATTCAGGCAATGGCTAGCAAAATGGAATTAAATAAAAGGCCCTCTCTATAAACTGCAATATGTGCTAGAAATAAAAGTACAAAATCTTTCCTTATTTTGAAATGATAAATAAGAACAGCATATTCAAGAACCGTTAACACCTATCATTGACACATCCTTCAGGCCCAACATGTTCTCTGCCTATCCCAGTCTTCCATGTCGTATGAAACTGACACCAATAATGTTCAATCATCAAGGCAACCAAGGATGGGTGGCCCTCAGTGCCAGGAAGAGGACCTTTCCCCAGGCTCCTCTCAGGTAACTGGATAAAGAACTGGGATATAGCAGCCAGAGACTCTATGCAACATAA